TCTCTCTCTCTCTCTCTCTCTTATTACTGATAACAATCTCTTTGTAATATTTTCATATATTGAATCGTGATTTGTAACGCCTTGGGTAACACCTCTTGCTAGGATCTTGAAATAATATCAATCGATATTCTGACCGATATATTTGATCATCTTCATCATATTCTTATCTTCATCATCTCTGTAAATGCTTCAACTCGGATTTATCTTCCTCTTTACTTTTCTAATTAATTTTCACTGTTAACTATTTGATGCTGTTTTTGTTTATTTGAAAAGGTATCCAGATAAACACCGTTAGGCAAGTTTAAGGGATGATGATTAAGATGATGTTGATGACGATGTTGATGATGATGTTGATGTTGATGATGATAATAATGCTGATAATGATTAAGGTAGAGAGGTAACTTTAACTATTTCCTCAATGCCAAGCCCTTTTTTTGCAAATGATCTGAGAAAAACACCCTGATGTAATGATAGTTTCTCTCATCATCATTATCATCATCAACTCTCTCATTCTATCATTTTATGCGTTTATTTTGTCACTATTTTTCAGTATTTTGATCAACTACTGTTTCTTGCTGTTATATTAATTAACGATAATCCATCAGAGTTTATCAATTCGTAGTCTTATTCTCAATCCTTTTCCTCTCTATTGATCATCATTATCTTCATCATCATTAGATCTCCTCCTCTTCTTCCGATTTTCATCATCATTATCATCATGTTCACTTTACTTTCCCTTTTGTGGTAAAATATAATTGATCTTACGTAACGATGTGTTAATTTACTCAATTATTAGAACAAATCAATTTTATCAGTTTAGTTGATTAATTCTCTGATCAGCAATTAGCAAGAGTTATGGTTACGATAATAAAATGCACGACGAACTGCCATCAAATTGTGTGTACAAAATTTCGACTTTCATTCAGTTTTATGATTAAATCATTTCTGTAATAGTCAAATTAAGCAAGTTAATCACAATTATTCCCGATGCTAAGTTTTCCTCTTTTTGATCTCATTAAAACTCAATACTTATCAGATACGATGGTTAGTTCGTATAATCATTAAATTTCAATTTGATTGTCATGTGATTTCAATTGATTGTTTTAAAATATAATAATGATAAGAAACGTTTAATTGTTAGTACCACACACAGCTTCTTAATTATGATCAAACAATCATGATTATCGAGATAACTTGTTAACAAGCTATTTACCAATCTAAACCAATTATAAAAAGGATTATCAAGTTAATTAACTTTTAATGAAGATAATAACAAATACCAACTATTAATCAATTGATGAGTTATTATTATCAAGATATAAATGCAATGATACAAATGAAAACACAGTCGATTACAAAGATTATAAAAGTAAAAATAATCAAGTGCAAACAATTTAGACAAAATAATGAAACTGATAAATGTTATACGATCAATATATTTAAATAGATTTTAAATAAAATACATGAAATAATTTGACATGAAACTTTTCGTTGTTTATGAAGGATAATTAATAAATAAATTGTTCTCAGAACTCGTTTTGTCAGTTCATATTATCTGAGTGATTGAAAGAGCTTAAAACTGAAACTTTGATCAAATATTTAAGAAAAATTTGACTCAAAATTTTCGTATTAATTAATGACCAGAAATGGCAATTCATGTTTCATCTGATGGCAGTAACATTATTGATTAATTATCTTGCACAATTAAGAGATGTTAATAGTGATAAACGATTCAGATCAGATTCCTTTGATTCTGGTATTAATGATACTGAGATAAAAATAATTAGATGAAAACATGAAGATGATCAAGGAAGTGATGATGCACCCAACAAGTTTCATCTTCATCTCTTTGATTGACTCTCAGTAGTTATCATAATGACGAGAATGAGATGAGAATATAAGTTTTACATTATTGTCACACAACATCAACATTAAGCGATATTGAACTACGATTAGAATTCAATGTTTATGTTTCAATATATTTCATCTTCCATCATGTAAACACATCAAGAGCTCTGGCGCCGATTATATCATCATTGTAATCATTCAGTTTTTCCATTGCCTCTTGTTCATCATCTTTTATTACCTGTAAGTGTTATCAAGTCTCACACTTTCAGAAGAGCTCATTCATGTTGATGATGTTGATCATTCTCATCCTAATTAACATCAACATGATTAAAATAAATGGCAATTTACTTTCATCCTAATCGGTTGCCAATTCAAACACAATACTCAACTCATTGGCTCCAATTGATATCTGTCATAATTAGTATTTCACCTTAGCTTTGCATTTTTCTCATAATTGCTTCTTAATTGAGTTGATCACTTTTTAGTTTCTCTCTATCATCACAACTGATAACCTAGAAAATATTTTCAAGATTTTCTTACGACCAAACTTTTCATCGAACTGATTTTCCATCTTCACTGAGGATTCGATTCATTTATTCAACAATTTTTTGTCCATCAATTCCTTACATGACCACCCCAACTTCCGTTTTCAATTAGTTGGCAGATAAAACTAATTAAAAAGATTTATCTTTTTGACTAAAAATTGGATTAAATTGTGAAAAGATGATCGCAATTTGGTTGTTTATGAAGAGCCGGAAATTAAGATTGAAAGGGTTATGATTAAAACGAATGGAATTAGTATCGTGAACCAATTTCATGGTCAATTCAACTTCCATGTCCTCGAGCATAAAGTTACACTATCATTAGCATTCACATTGTAAATGATATTGTTTGATATTGATATCGAAAGGATGTTGTTTAAGATAATTATTAAGGAGTGTTAGTTTTAATTGTTGATTAAATTGATATGAAGGCAAATGGAAATGTAGATTGGATTAATTATCAATCGTTGAGATGATTTGCTTGAAAGATTTGATAATCTTTTGGATGGTTGAATCAACCATAATTGTTTATTTCTAACCTTGGTCATTGTCGAGTTTAATTGTCCATTTAATTGACACCTTAGATGGACAATTGATGATTGCAAGACCAATTACAATGGGACAATTTAACTTGCAATCAACAAATAATCGATAAATAGATGATATTATTATTAATACATGTAATATCATAATCGATTGATAATATTGCTGCTAATTAATTGATGGCTGGTTAACAATTGATTGCTAACCTTTCTCGCCCTGGGGCTTTTCAAGGTAAACATATAGGCAATAGAATCAAGGATAAATGGTTGATAATTAAAGTTAACTAACTAGTTGGAGATAAAATTTCAATTATTCGAGTCACTTTGAAGAACCAGTTTACATGAAGGAAAAAAGTGAAAACAAATGATAAGCTAAACCACAGCGATTCCTTTCATTGGACTGGTCAATTGTTACTCAACAATATCGACCAGTCCAAGTACAGTATTAATCTATCAAGTTAATGATGATTTAAATTGCTCGTCAAATATTTTATCTCACAGATACAAGGTAAACATGATAAACTGGTTCTCCTATAAATGAACATTTTATTTAATGATAGTTTATTCAATTATAGGTTATCAGGTTTTTGGACCAATGAGAAACTATTTCATGTCCAACACGTATTTTCACGTGCTGAACGCGCGCGCGCGCCTTTTTCATTCTCTCTCTCTCTCTCTCTCTCTCTCTTTCTCTCTCTCTTTCTCTCTTTTTATTGCTCTCTCTTTTTTTCTTTGTCTCTTTTTTCATTCATCTTTTTGGCGCTTTATCTTTTCATCTCTTCCCTTTTATCCTTAGTAACAATTTTCTTTTCGAGCCATTGCAAAGGCACTACATGGAAAGATCGATATTCTCTTCGAATTTCATTCATTTCTTTTCTCTTCTTTAATCGATTCATTTCAGCAATTGATTTTGAATCAGGTTTACACACGAATTTTGTGTTCAATTTTTGTTTCTTTTTGTCTTCCATTGCAAATTTTTTACAATTAATGTTTTCTTGGAACGAGAATAATTGGAAATAGTTAACTAATTGCAAATTCAATTGATGCAGACAAACATGTTCATATTGTTAAGATGCACAATTAAATACGAAAACTGTCCATCAATTATAAGGCAATAACCTAATTGTAAATTGCAAAATAAATTGCACTTAAAACAATCAAGAGTCTGAAAAGCAATGATGAGTTTGCATAAAAATGTAACAATTAACGATAATTATATTGTTCAGCTGAACAAATGATATCATATTACCAAAGTGTTTGGATTATGAAGAAAGTCGTTGGAGAGTTTACGAGATTGATTGTCAATCGTTGCCATCAATCAAATTTTTGTTGATTTTTTCATTAGTGATTTGTGATTAATTAATCGTTGACAAAGATACAACTAATTACAATTGTGAATCGTGACTTAGCAAAAGTCTTCGTACACAGAAAAAACAATTGAACATTTAGATTGTCCAATTGGTTGGATATCATTTTACAACCAGCCAACTGACCACAATTAACTGATTGCAATCATATTGGGGTCAAATCACTAATCAGAACTAAATTAAATGTCAAAATTCACATTTTGTACATGAGAAGATCTGATTTGCTTTGTTTATTTGCTTCTAATTTGTTCATCGTTGGATGAACGGCTTAAGCTCTTTGTTGAATCTCAGTGGCTTATCATTGATGGTCAACAATTTCCCATGATAGAAACTGAATAATAATGCGAATGGATGATTGGTTAGTTGATTGTTGTCGTTAATCAAGTGATCAGATGACAAGTTGTGTTAATAGCGGTTCATTTGTTGTAGAATTTTTGTTGACAAAAATTAGAAAATGTAAACCAGGAAAAAGAAACTTTTCCTTCTTTTTTTCTTCTAGACGATTTTCTTTAAATCGAGTTTTTCTTTTCTTTTGTTAAGTTCCTTTTAAAGGGTTACCTGTTTTCTTTTTAAACTTGAGCCCAACAAAAAAGAACTGAGAACGGATAAGACCAGTCAACTTGACCAGTGGAGATAAAGACTTGACCATTTCTCTTATTACCTTTAAAAACACAAAGAATCAAGAAAGTGTTTACATTTACCTTGAATGTTGTTGAGGTTTTCTAGTTGGTCTTGAAAGAGAAAAAGAGGATTAACTGAATTGAACTAATCGATAATAAGACATGAAAAATGTCTTCGTCAAGATAAGAAAGAGAGATGAATAATTTAAACTTTTCTTTTCCCATTTAACAAGCTCTTTCCTTCCCATATTGTTACAGAAAATCTGATTACTATTTAAGAGTAAATAGATATTGTTAACTCGCTTCTAGATAATTACCATCAATTCAACGGCTCTTGGGAAGGAGGTTAATTGGTCAAATTGGATAAAGATCATTTCTCTTTTCTTACTTTTGTCCGGGAATAAAACTTTTCCTTTTTTCATTAATTAATTGCAACCAACAGTTTGAGCGAATTTCCACCAGGAGTCTCTAGTGAGGAAACAACGTGTTCCAAACATATGATGTGTTTGTTTACTTTTTTATCTTTTTTATCTTTTCATTAATTTCATTTTTCATTCGGTTTAATTGTCACCATTAACAATGAGTTGGTTAACCAAAATCAAACAAATCTCTTTGGAAGATACGATATTCGACAGCAAATTTCACCCAAGCAAACCCAACATTCTGGTCTGTGTCACTGTTTCTGGTGATCTTTTCATGTAAGTCACTTGCTATTGATTCAATTTATCCTTTGGTCTTTCGCCCTCACCTCAGGTGAGGGGCTCCTCTTACATCATCTTTTATTATTCTCAAGGGTATGTGAGGAGAAATCATTCATTTCTTTTGTGATTTTGCTATCACACTTCCTGGATTTGCTCTTTGTAGATAATGTTATAAAAATACATTCATTTTCCTTCATTTTCCTCTCTTTTTCACCTTTTTTCTGAGCATTTTTCACTCTTATCTGCATCTAGTGTTTCTTATCGTACATTTTCAGTATGATAATCATCTAGATACCTTTTATTTCTGGTGTTTGTTTGCTGTCTCTCTAATTATTTTCCCTTTTTCACTTCCTAATTTTAATCAGTTTGGACACTGATAATGCTTCTAATCCGATTGCTGTTGAGCTGAACAACGTTCATAGCGGTGCACCAATTAGAAAAGTAGCTTTTACTGACGATCATAATATTATCACTGCTGCAAGAACTTTAAAGGTCACCGATTTCAATACCGGAAAGGTAATTCGTAAAATTAAGCCTGATCAACCTCGAAGTAAAATCTTCTCTCTTTTGGTTATTGACCACTGGTTAGTTTGTGCCGGCGACGATGAAGGACGATTTCGAGCATGGGACTACCGAGTTGATCGGGGAACATTTATGGATCTGAAGAAAAGTGAAGATCACATCAGTGATTTGGATATCGATTCACAGAAAAGGATTGTTGTTGCATCAAGTGGGGAAGGGACATTAACTGCATTTAATATAAGGTAAAATAATCTTTGCTTTTTACCGATAATCTTTATCATTAGTTATGGTTTTACCGAAAAGATGTTATGAGAATCTGAAATTCTGTTGATCTGTTTTTTATTTGCAATCGGATTAGTGTAATGACGACGATGATCAGATCTAGATTTATTATCATAGAGCTTATTGATGGTGAATTAATTTAAGATTTCCGGTCGGCAAGAATTTCCTCAAAAGAATCTAGTAAATCATCGTATTTCAAGTTACCAGAAAAGAAGATTTTAATGATAGGTTTTCGCTTAGCAATAAACTTGTTGATCTGTTTGTTACTTGTTTTCGTTATCATGGTGCTCATCAAATGAATTCTGTGAATCTTAATAATTTGCTCCATATGTAAAAGGATAAAGTCCAATAAAAGACAAGAAATTACCCAGCAAACTAATTGTAAGTTTGAAGTTTAAATTGCTCAGCGAGTTGTTGTTCTTGTTTTTCTATTTACTCGAAAAAAGGAAAGGCCATTTAACAAAAGCTGATGAACGGGTTTTGAATCAGTTTGAGTTTTGTCACGGATTCGAGGGACGTCAAGATAACTATCTATCTAAGCAAACTTTTCTCAACTAAGTGAGAAACATCCATTATCCTTATATTATCGAGAATTATTATTAGGCTAAGATTGGGCTTTATTGTTCAAGAAGCTCAAAAAATTCTTTAGGGAAGAGCCTCAGGCGAAAAAGAAGAGAATAACTTGAATAATGTAGTTTCCCTAACGAATAGAACAACCTCTTGAAGCTCTAGAGTTCGACTGATGCTCCTTCCTCTTCTCTCTTTGCCTTGTTAGTGATTACACTTGAACCTTCTCTTTTCTTCTATGTTATAAATTATTAGGCTAATGTGTTTTCCAAAAGGAAGATGATTTGATTGTTTTTCCAGTAAAAACTGTCATCAATAGAAGCGAATCACGATTGTCCAGTCAAATGAAAGACCATGTTAATGATTATAGTGAAAGGAGAAGCAAAAACCGTTGCGATCATTGTAATCATCATTTGAAGAGAAAATAATGTTCTTTTTTGGTGATCATAGTGATAATTATGATGATGATGATGATGATGGTGGTGGTGGTGGTGGTGGTGGTGATACCGATAATCTCCTTATAATGATGTAGAGGTGATGAACCTTGTTCCGTATTGAAGGTGTTTCTCGTAGATAATCACAAGTAACTTGAAGTTTCTTCCACTCATCAAACTTTCATTTAATTGGTTCAATGATAATCAATCATTAAACAATTAATTAATTTGATGGTTGTTGGTGTTGTGGAATAATGTTAACTCTCAGTATCAATATTCAATTTAATCATTTTCACATTTCCTTAAACTTTTGGCTCCTCTTGCTGTGTGGCTTAATCACCAAAGAATCACAATCATCAAATTTAACAAGCTAGTTATCAGTTAATCAAATCTCTGGTAATTTACAAAATCGGTTAATATCTAATATCTCATTGATAATTAGTCAATTGTTTATATCATAATCCAAGTAAAGAGACAATTAGTTCAATATGAATTGAACCTTGGCTTGATTAGTTAATTATCTTTACTTTTCTTGCTATTTCTTGGTATCAACATAATTAAAAGGATAATTTATTTTATTTTTGTTATCATTTGATTACAATTCGCCTGAGGGGTAAATGATATCCGTTTCATCCTGTTGAACATGTAACCTCGAATTTCAATGAAAGGACAACATGGACAAGAACAGCTGCTGATGAGCAAATATATTTATCCTCAACTAGCCTGAAGACAAAAAGATATCACAAAATATTGAAACATTTTCATTTCTTTTTATCGATTCCTTTAATCTATTATCTGCTTCTTATCATATTCAACTTAATCCCCTCCCTACGAATCTCTTAAGCTTGATAATTACCTGATAAAAATTGGAACAAATTAATTAGTTAAATCTCTCTCTCTCTCTCTCTCTCTCTCTCTCTCTCTGGATTTGTAATCTATTATGAAAGATCCCGACGAATGGAGGAACCACAATCTGAGCTATTTGATGCTGGTTTCCAATGCGTTCGATATTATGAAGATCGAGGAAAAGTTCTAGTTGGGGCTGAGGACAGCGCGATAAACATATTCAACATCGGTCAGTGGGGAAATATAAGTGACCGATTCCCTGTGAAAACTCGTCTTCCATCTCGTAAAATGGCAGGAAACGTCATAGATTCCATGGAATTGATTGGAGATGACAAATATGTGGTATTAGGTTGTTCAGATGGTCACTTGCGGCTACTCAGCATTTTACCGAATAAAGTTATTGCTTCGGTCAGTGATCATCAGACTTCCATTGAAAGTTTAACAGTAAACAAGAATACAAAAGTAATTGCATCAACAGATTGTTCGACTGTCCATCTTCACCAATTCGAAGAACAAAATGAGCCTGAAAAAGCTACAACTTCTTCGTCCAGTTTTTTTTCAGAATTGTGATAAAACTGTTGAAATGATGAAGAAAAAAATAATGTTTCCAACATGATGATCATTATCACTTTCCGATGATTAAATCAGTCTCTGTTTTGTTAAGTTGAGGCCCAGTAATCAATCAAATAAACTCTATTATTGTTTAACTGTTGTTGGCTATTGTTAATGGCCCAAAAATGAGCTTCGAAAAAGACAAAGTAAACTAGAAGTTTCATTATTTTCTTTCTTTATCTCTGTCTACTTTGTCTGTCTTTCTTCTTTTTAAAAGTTAATCCCTCATCATCTCTTTCTTCTTCTTAAGAAAGAAGCGGCATTTTAATTGAAACTGATTTTCTTTTTCTTAAGACGATGGAGAGAGAGAGAAAAAGAGAAAAAGAGAGAGAAGGTGGGGGTGAGTGGAGAAGATACAAAGAGAAAGAAAAAGGGAGGAGTGGTGGTGGGAGGGGAAGAGAAGGAGCAAGAGAGAGAGAGAGAGAGAGAGGAAGAGAGAGAATTCCAAGAAGAAAGAAAGAGAAGAAAAAGAAAATATGAAGAGCAAGAGGAGAGGAGAGAGAGAGAGAGAATTTCGGACGTTGAAGATGTGAACAGCATTTCAAGTTAACACTTGAAACAGTGAATAACAACACAAGAACTTATAACAAAATGGATTTAGTGTGTGGTGAAAACTATGATAAAACGAATTTCTTATCCAAAAAATGTACTACAATTCACGATCCCGTTATTCATGATGATGAACGTGTTCTGCACAATCTACTGGTCACCCAGAATCGCTACGTGATAAAAACCTCGTACTTTAAATGTCTTCAAACGGATCTCGATGTGCAAATGAGAGAAATGGTTGCTAACTGGATGCTTGAGGTGAGAAGATAATCCGATTAATCTGACAACATCTTTTTTATCAACAGTTACTCTTCTTCTTCCGATGAATCTTAGGTTTGTGAAGAAGAAAGATGTGAGAAGGATGTGTTTCCTTTAGCCATGAACATCATGGATCGATTTTTGTCCCAAGTTCGAATAAGAAAAAGTCAACTGCAACTTCTTGGAGCTGTTTCCTTGTTCATTTCGTCCAAAGTTAAACAAATCAAACCTCTTCATGCTCATCGTCTTATCCTCTACTCCGATTATTCAATTACAAGAGATCAACTATCGGTAAGCATTAATCCATCGACAATTATTTACTCAATTTCATTAATCCTGATCACTTTCCAAAGAGATCGATTCTTACTGAATTACCTTAAATGCAATTAATCCGGTCCAGACTTTAATGAGCTTTTAATCATAAGCAGGTTAATTGGAAACTTTATGCTTTCAACTCAGTGCGATAGGATTTCACTTTAGTTGAGTGAGAGCAGTTTGTGTTTATTAATTGTATCAATTGTAGTTGATTGTTACACTGTTTCAATTACATTATAACCCTAATGTGCTTAATTTTAATTGCTCGTAGCCAAATGATTGTAACATTGCAACTTGATAAAAGTAACTTGTTACCATCGATTCAACAATTGAGCAAATAAAAGGTTCACGTTTATCGGCCAATAAATTTCGACGCTCCATGTGACCCTTGATCGCTTTAGGCTTGAATGAAAAATCAATTTTCTTTTCTTATTTTGAGTGAACTTCCCATTCGCAAATGAGAAAAAGGATTAACCTAAAATTATCTTTTTCGTTGCCCGTAAATTCGACTTCATGTTGAAATTTCTCTCTCTCTCTCTCTCTCTGCATGTATCCATCTAATTCGTTCTGGATGTTAAATTAAACGGAATAAAGTATATAATTAACTCTTTTAGGTTCTACTGTGAACTTTGTGCTTCTTAGACTTTGCTTGTTATTATCTTGATTATAATTCTGACGATCACATCTCACATCGGTGTTAATTTTTCCAACTCATTGGTGCATCAGTTTTCGAACTTTCTCCTTTGCTCATAATTTCTTGTTAATTATAAATCTTATTTGAATTTAATTACAATTATTTCCATTTTTCTCAAACAGAATTGGGAACTTTTAGTTCTGAGCCATTTAAGATGGGATACAAGTGCTGTCACTCCGAACGATTTCCTCAACCTGATTCTCCATCGTTTACCTACACGAACCAAAGGAAAAGATAAATTAATGACCATCCAAAAACACGCACAAACATTCATCGCTCTCTGTGCCACAGGTAAGAATAGATTAGATTTATTAATTTGAATTGTCGATAATCATAAAAAACTTTGATCTTCACCATTATTACATGATTTCACCTTAATCATAATTATCTCGTTATCTTTATCATTGTAATTACTTTTCACTATTTCGGTTTGATTATCAAGCTCACATATGTTTAGGTCAATAACATTAATTCATCTTGATTTCCTGTCATTTAAACTAATCCAAGATAATCACAGTTAAATATGAGCAATTAACTCATTGTTAGTGTTAATTGTTACATTTTATGTTCTTAGGTTCAAAGTAAAAGGTTATCTCTTCTCTAATTGCTACCAAGATGATTTAGAATAGAATCAAACCCAAGTTCGTTTTCTCATTTGTTTTTCTTTTCTCTGTTCGTTTAGATTTTCGTTTTTCCATGTTACCACCATCATCTATCGCAGCTTCTTGCATTGCAACTGCGTTTCTCGGTTTAACCAGAAACAATTCACAAACAACCAAAGATTTGATCGCTCAACTTTGTAAATTAACCAACATTGAGAACACCGATCTGCTGGAGATCAGGAGGACCATCGAGGAGGTTTTAAGAGCCCAAACCAACCACAAATGAGAGTACACTGGATATGGAAACGGAAATAGTGGACTTAAGAGAAATTCAAAGTTTTCTCGAATTCAGAAAAGTTACTGTAAATGCCAAAACAAATCGAAAATCAAACTCAGAGAAACAACATTAATTTCGCAATCATCAAGCATCGCTAAAATCTTTATCCAATCCAAACAACTCATTCGCTTCCCAATACAAACCAACTGATAATAAGTCAAACTGATTAATGGTTGGTAATTGTGTCGTCACCTCAATTAATTTTGTGAAATTCAACCACAATTTAGTCAACATCAGATCTTCTTACTGTGCTCATGTGTGTTGCCCTATGATGATGTTAATCCCACTTGAATGAGAACGTGCAAATTATCAAGAACATCATCAATTTGAAAGGAACCTAATCCATTTCATCTTCATTTGTATCATTTATCATCACCAAAACACTCATCTCTCTCTCTCTCTCTCTCTCTCATCGTTTCATTAACTTTTTCTTGTTCTTTTTGCTTTAATCGTTATCATCATCATACTAATCATCATCACTCTCATTGCCCTTTTTCTCACCTCAATTTTAATCTCAAATTACCTGATCGATTGTTTTGTTTATGAAACAAAACAAAATACAAAACCGTAACTAGTGAGATCGCAACGACTGATTTAGTTTTTGCTCTTTTAAATTATTTAGAATGTAAAATGTGAGATACCGAAATCGAGAGAGAGAGAAGAAAGTTCAAGAAACAATGAGATTGAAATGATTAATTGATCGATTGAGTTTAATTCCTGTTGCAAAAGCAATTCTTGTTATTAGACTAATTGCTGATGGAAATTCTGGTTACTTTTGAATATTTGGACCATGAATCTAGAGTTTCAATCACCAATGGAATCAACAAAAAGGCAAAGTGATAATTAATCGATTGAATTTGGATCATAAGTTATAAATCTTTTCCCATGTTAACTTGTCCTCACAAGCGAAGCCATTTTGTCAAAATGAACCATAATGAATTTACCGAAGATTTTCAGTCTGATTATCTTATCAATTTTGTATTAAAATAATACCAAACGTTATCGTGAATAAACTGTGTTAAATTAAAGATTCAAAGCCACAACAGAAAATTGTTTCATTTTATCCTCGAATCAATAAAACGTATTTACCATTGTCATTGGAAAGATAATTTCGATCGAGACAGAATAGAAAAGCAAATGTTGATCTGAATTGAAAAGTTCGAAAGAAGCGCTTCCGTGTGATTGGTCGTTTCAGTTGCCTAGGAACGAATCTCCGGAAACACTTTGGCCTTCATTGTGTTTGTCAATTGAAGGAATTGCATTGATGCAATTTTGTTTTGTTTAATTTCTAAATTATTTTGCTTCAGTTTCGATTAATTGGAACCATGAGGTAAGTCAGTCTCAGGCTAATCTTCTGCTGTGACGAATTGCTCGGAATCGCCGTTGGAAAACATGAAACCAAATTCCAATTCTGTTGGCTATTATTTCTCATTTTCCAAGAGTTACAATTGTTACTTTCCTTGATTATTGTCTAAATGTTTTTCTCTTTTCTTCTCATCTGTGTTTAATATTCTGTTTCTGGTGGCTCGTCGTTAGTTCCATACGACAACAACAGACTCAAGAACGTAAAGATGCATTCAAAGAATTTATAAAAAGTCTACCTCGTACCTGTTCTCCTACAATCTGTGGAACCATTGGTTGTCGTGTGGAATCTGAAAAAAGTGATTCTCTTTCCGAAGATTGGCAAAGTCAAGAATTCAATTGGTCCATTGACCAACTAGCCATTTTAAAACCATGTGATATATCTCTGGATGAACAGTTCAATGGCGAACTTACCAACTTGGCAGATTCATCTTTAGACCGAGAAAATGAAGAATTTTTCAAACAATTAGAAATCTTACCTTCCCCTGCCTTTTGCAGATTAGCTAACTTGACTCCTGGGGAAACACAAGAACCTTTTCTGACCCCATTCTCTCGAGTTGCTCCTGGTAATCAATCTACACCGTACCAACCCTGTACACCTCCCCCGACTCGCAGTGCATCTCGTACTGCTCGATTATCAGCTGTATCATCTTTAACACCTTATGGTTATAATAAGACAAAGAACAAGAAAAAACTGTTTAACGACAACAATCAAGAAGGCATTCCTGAAGATGCCGAATCAAGTGGACATCAAACTGTAGCAATGTGCTCTATTGATCGCCCTTCATCACCTTCTTCATTGTCACTTCCATCATGATTATGTGTCAATTTTATGGCTAAGGGTTAACAAAGAGAAAACTTTATAGCATTTTCTTATAACTTTTTATCACCATTGTAATTTTTGTAAATTCTACTTTTTCATTCATAACACCGAGAAAATTTACTCGCCAAAAATTGGTCACCTTTTCAATCTCAATTTTCTCCGCGATGACTTAATCATGTTAGTTGACATTTAATCAATTTCTCTATCATAAAAACAACTAGATCTCAATACTGAGAATTTGTTTTCATTATTATGAGTGAATATCGATTGCATCCACATTTAGATTTAGATTATTATTTCATTTGGTAATCCGGTTAATTAAATTGTTTCTTCAATCAATCACAATCGATTTAGGAATCAAAGTTTAATGAAAACTAAACCAGAACCAAAGAAACTGTTGAATGTAATCAACAACCTTTTCTTGACATTACAATTTGTGTCGTTAAAAACAATTAAATACAATTCACACTTCGGGTCGATATTAAATTGAATCTCTGTTACTTTTACCCTTTTCCAAGTGAATTTATTAACTAAATGACTTTAAACAAATTTGATTGGTAATTTCCTTCTTCTTCCATTGATTCTCTCATCATGATCATTAAGCTTATCTATTTTCGATTGATCGTCTTCAACATTCACATCCTGTCACCTTAACATGAACCATTTTCGATAATCTTTCATCATCATTCCAACTTCATTTATTAATTCTCTTTGTCAATAACATTCTCCATTTAGTTTCTGAATCAAATTTACTATCGATAATTAAATTGCAACTTGGACGATTCCCTTTGTTTTCAGTTCAGTGATAGACTTTGTTTCTTCTGAGTTGCATTTCCATCTCTGGATAATAATTAAGCTGATTGATTTTCTAGATTGATAATTACTCGCGTTTAATTGGATCATCATGGACGGCGAGTTATCGATTCACATGACAAGTTTACAGATTCACAGTGAAAGTTTTCGTGAATTGTTAGCTGAGTTTCTTGGAACTTTCGTTCTTGCAGTAAGTAGACCATCAAAGAAGAGAACAATTAGAGAAAAGGAATGTAATTCTCAAAAATATTAATAGACAATTTCTTCGACAGGGTCTTGGCTTTTCGACCAATGCTAATCTGTTCCTTAAAAATATGCCAACATTGAGCTCGTTCGTAGGCCCATGGATATGGGGACTTGCGCTGACATCAGCGATTTACGTTTGTGGTGGTGTTTCAGGTACTCGGTGCTCATCACCATCGTCATTAGTTTTTTGAATCTAACTGTTGATTTGCAATCACCTTGATTAGGAGGACATGTTAACCCGTCAGTCACTCTTGGTCTTGCTTCGGTGGGCAAATTATCCTGGTCGAAAGTTCCTCATTATTTCATCGGTCAGTACATTGGAGCCTTTGTGGGCTCAGCACTGACATACACCGTCTACAGAGAGGCCATTAACGAGGCCGTTGCAGCGAATACCAGTGTGTCACATAATATTTCACGGATATTCATACCAGTACCAGCCAATGAAGTTTCCGACGTCGCTCGATTCATTGATCAGGTGAGTAAGCTGACAAATTTTCAGAAAAAATCGGCCACCATATTATTGGAACTAAACAAACGCAAAAGTGTTAGAATCAAAAATATGAGTATCAGTCTGAACTGTTAATTAGTCCATTAATTATACTTAATCCAAAATACTAATCCACTTATCGACAAAATTTTATCAGTTACAATCAATAGAAAATCGATGAAAAGAAAAAATGTTTAGTTTCTTTTTTCCCTTTTCTCGTTCTTATTATTTTCTCAGCATTTATCTTGATTCTATGCGAAAAATAGCAAACAAATGATAAGAAAGAGAATAAGAAATTCTTAGTGAAATGATCGTAATAACATGAAACTACACAAGAAAAGCAAAGTTTCAGTAACTTTATCTTCAAGTGGAACGAGATGCAACTTGGATTGTAGCTTTTGAACAATGAGCAAGATGGAAAAGGGTGAAAGGTCAGTCGAAAGCATAGTTATTAATGTGTACTTAAGAACCTTGAGATATCGCAGTTTCTGGCAAAGAAAAGATTCAATTGGTATTAGTATTATTATCGAGCTTAATTTTATTTTTGATAAATTTTTGTGAAAGTGACCGCAGTGTAGATACTCACCAGGGGTCAATTTTTCATTTCTTTCATTGACCTTTTCTGCTTCAGAAATTGTTGACTGCAATACATTATCATTGTGATTGTTGACTAAACAGAGAAAGTAAGTTTGTCCACAACAAGAAACAAGAGTTCGAGGCTTAAACAACTACATTGTTCAGTGACCAATTTATCTTCTTGATATTAATATTATTGAACATTTCTTGCTCTTGTCAATTTACCTTTTTACCTTGTTTTCATAGTGGTCAAGCAAATGTTGATTATAATAATAGCACCAGAGATGCTAGTTAGGTAAGCAATGACCAACGGTCTTTCAACACAAAAATAGGTGACCAAGCCCACATTCGGCCCTAACAATCAGTTAATCCCTTAGCTGCTAAATCATAATCATTATCATTATTTTCGTCATCTCTCTCATCTATTGTCCTCTCTGTCCACTTCTTTACCTTCCTTTTCCTCAGTTGGTGTCATTTGCTGCGACCTCTTGGTCAGCTTTAGATTCTAAAAGGCTACTAGACTATTCTTATAGTATTGGGTTAAGGTAAAGGTACTGATAATTAATGAGGGGGAGTTCGAAGACCAAGACAATTAACTCATCATTTCGGGTATAAAGGCTTTTGTTCTGATTCCAGCCCATTTCAATATAAAATATAATGACCGACTTGATTTGTCCGCAATCAATAAATTATTTCGCAATTAAAATTCAGAAATTTTACATGAAAAAATTAAATGATAATTATCACGAAAATGTAGAAAAATCAATAATTGGCAAAGTCTTCGATCTATATTTTAAAAGTAAAGTAATGGTTCAGAATATTTTAATCATTCATCAAATTTAACTACTTAATTGTTATTTTCAAAAGAAAATAATTATAAATTGCTATCAATACAATCAAAAAGTGAAAATACTATTGATGAACCTTCGTTTGGGATTTGTCAATCCTTTAAATGAATGATTCCAAGAACTTTTTCTGTCAATAAATCGAAAACTCAACAATTGGAATGTTTTTCGAATTTAGATAACAATGATCAAGTTTAATCGAAATTTAAGCTTTTTATGAATGAATTAAGTTTGGTTGATCGTTAGGATCGATTTTACGTTTTTCTTGTCTTTTCTGTTAGAATTTCATTCATTTGTTAAGATGAAAGAAAAGAAAGAAACGATGAAAAGAAAATAGGAGGAGTTTGTCAATCGGTTTACCATTTTCATCAAAAGCTCGTGTTAAGTTTTCTTCTTGCTTACCTGCACTTACCTTTACTGATTCCTTGCAAGGTGAAATCTCATATAGAGCCTGAGAACTGCCTCGAGGTGAATAGATTGTTGTTACAACTGAACGAGCGACATTAAGTTATTTCACCAATCTCATTATCGTGGATCTATGAGCCATTTTATTAGATTAACCTAATTTCGATTAGAACGGCTTACAATCAATGTGAGATTATTTCCAATCGAGATTTACTATTTTATTAACTAATATTTGTGAGCCTTTTCACAAATTTATTGATTGGAATAAACTGTTCTTTAGTGAATCGAATGGTGATTAAATTGTAAACAGCATTTTATTATTGAAACAACACACGAATTCGAAACACTCAATTTTAATCTCATTAATATTTATCTTTTAGAACTAAAGTCAATATTGTTTAAATCATAAATCGTCATAACGATGTAAATAAACTTAAATTTTCGTAAGTTTAGTTTCTGATTTTCCATAGACACGAAATCCAATTGATGTTCCAACTAATTACTGGTTAATAATAAAATTATTTCTAAATTAACAGTTATCATCGTTGTTTAGTTGAAATGATTTACTTTTCAATGGTCTCAACAATCAGTTATATTCAAGTTATTTATTAAAATGTGATCAAACTTTAAACTGCCAATGTAACTGTTATGATCATTGATGTTTACAGTTGATGAAAGTGACACTTAACAATTTAAATTGCCTGAAACCAAATCAAGTACATGTTACGAGAATGGAGAGTAACTTTTCCTCGATAATGATCACCATCTTTCTCATGATCTTCACAAGATATTTTCTCGCTTCACTGAACACAAGGTAGATATTTACACACATTTACCTCGCCCAATTGGAAAGGTAAATTTAAATTGTCAATTATATATTATTATCATCGGGATGATAATTTACTATTATAGAAACTGCAACAAACTTTATCTTTTATTTCTTACGAAGAATCTTAATGATTATATTATGCTTCCTGTTTTTATAACGATCATCACAATCTGACCTTGTAACACATATATCAATGTGCTCATCACTATTTACCTTGAAGCCTTTCTAGTAAATTATCATAATCATCGTTTAGCTAAACAATTAACTTTAACAATCACAATTTAAGTCAAATTTATTAGACATTTGATATCGATGATGCTTCTGTTTTCCAATTTACTTTTACAAACTAACGATTAGTATTAAATTGTTTTCAATCTAATGCAATTTATTGAATGTTTATTCATTTGGCTTAGCGCATCGTGGGAATTTGAATGGTTTTAATTGTTCATTGATTGATTACTTTTGATTTTACTAACTCTAAGATTGTAAGAGTTTCCTTCCTCTTGTTTCATTCACTTCTTGGATTTATTTCATTCATCAAATTTCATGAAATAGCTTCCAGGTAGTAATTAACTCGTTGATAATGTAAAGGATAATTTAACGCATCACTGATTCGATTTGCCTTAAAGGACGGAAACTAATGACAATCGATATTTAATAAAATCATAAACAATTTCATCGTTCTCCTTGATAATTGTATTAATCAATATTTAATTCTGCTCTAGACTGTTTGCTGTGCGTTTTTCTTGCTGATCATCAATGCGATTACCGATGAACGTAACATGTCTTGTTCGAAGGGTTTGGTGCCTTTGGTCATCGGGGTCACTGATTTAACTTTGATGCTCTTTTCATTCGGATACAATGCTGGAGCTCCGATTAACCCTGCTCTCGATATCTCGCCGAGGTTTCTAACGTGGATTGTTGGTTGGGACACCAAAGTGTTCAGGTAATTAAGATCATCATCGACAGAATGAGCAGACATTTCGGCCATTAGACCAAAAGAAATTAAATAAAACGATTCTTAAATTTGATTGATTGGTCTCTTAGTTATGGTAATTTAGAACCTTGAGCTATTCATTGATAATCTATTGATTTTTTGTGATTATGAATTTAAATTACTTTTGGCCAATTCACTTGGAAAATATTATTTAATTTACTTTTTCTTTTTAGAATTATTGATTGACAGAATTTCATTTGAATTGATTGAAAAGTTAAATTTGAAACTTTTCACGAAGTTTTGAGTAAATGTGATTATGACTTTTTTCAAGAAATGAAACAATCAAATGTAATTACATTCGTCCAAGGTGGTTAATCGTAATTACACAATCTAATGTCTAGTTATTTCACTTGGAATGGTCAAATGTTATGATCATTAGTCAGAATCTCGGAATGATATGAATAATTCATTAAATGATTTTTGAATTAACACCAATTTCGCTTTTCATGGATCAGTTTTGATAAAATGGGACATTATTGGATTCCTTTGGTTGGTTGTGGAGTTGGAGGAATTCTTGGTTCATGGACTTATCGTTTGTTCATCGAGAATCATTGGCCTGATGAACTATTCGAAAGACCACCAACCGAAACCAAACTAAGTGCCAATATGGAGTATTTTTTCAACGATAAGACACCGAATAGAGTGCATCCTATTTAGCGAAAGAGAAAGGAGGCCAACAATTAATAATCGGTTGTACCCAAACAATTCGAGGCCATTTGATCACCAGTCTCATCGGTTGTCACCTCCGTCTCAATCATCTCAAGTGGTTTGGAAAAAACCTCCATATTTAACTATATCCTCATTGTTATTGTCAAATAAATATTATCACTAATCATTGAAACAATTGAATGAGAATTCCATTTACTAAACAAAGAACAAGAAAATTAAAGTACGAAAAGCAAAGATTTTGAATTCATGAATGGACATCGATTTAACTTAATATGGTTAAGAATTGATACAGATTGAAAGAGCGGACTGTGCAATGGACGAAAGAAAACCAAATATAATTCGAAAAGTACAACAATGATTATGAAAAGAATTATTCTTTATTACGATATTCACAAGATTACTGAGAATAAGCTTCTTGTTTCTTTTGTTGAATCCTCTCTTCACGTCTCCTTCTAGCTTCCTTAGCACGTTGTCTCCTTGCTTCAGCAGCATCGGAAAGTTGCTTGCTTCGTAATTTCTCAGCCTTCATCTTGTGGATGGTCTCCATCAAAACACGCTTGTTCTTGAAAACATTACCCTTTGATTTACGGTACAATGTATGATAAAGATGTGAATCTATTTTCATTAGTTCGATACTTTTCAATAATCGTCTAAGAACTCTCATACGTCGTATCCATAAAACCTTTGCTGGCATACGAGCATTAGCTGTACCCTTCCTTTACCTGGTCCAGTGTCGACCCTTCCTTCTGGCTTCTGTGTTAGCTCGACATCGGGCTCTAGAATGAACGGCAACTGGCTTTTTGATAATTAAACCATCTTTAATTAATTTACGAATGTGAGCTCTTGAATTAGCATTTCCCAATTCACTTGACTCATTTGGATCCAACCAGACTTTGCCAAGACCACACTTGAGAACCTTAGCTGCGAGTCTCTTTTGAAGTCGAAGGGAACTATAACCAAAGTCGGAAGGGGTCACAAATTAATCATACAAAATAAAGAAGAAAATTAGTCACCAGTTATTGAAAGTAGAACAAGTAAAATTGTAGTAACCATAATGTCATCAAATCATGTATCAAATCAGAAACAAAACAGCAGCCATTGAGTTTGGTTTCATGTTTTCAAACGGTAATTCAAATAATTCATCATAGTAACACGATTTTATGACTGATAGATTAATAAATTGAAAGACAATTAAGTCTAAAACTCACCTCATAGTTCCAGATAATTACTAAAACAATCAAAATAAAACACAATTTAACAAAACAACTTTTTGGTTAACTTAATTTGCCAACACAAAAGCAAAGGCAAAGGCAAACCTAAAGTCAAAGGCTCTTCCTTTTCCGGACCGAGTTACTAAGCAACCAAAACACATCCAACACTTTTAACCGCGTCTTTTGATTCTCACTTTTTGTCTTTTACAATATGGTTTTCAATCTGAGCTTCTATCCAACTCGATATATAATTTTACAAATGTAGTGCGAAAAAGAAACATTAAAAGCGACGATTTCAAATACCTTCGAAACTTTATTTTCTGCATTTTATTTTTTATTTTACAAAATTTTGATGAAAATAAAACAAAAAGTGAGAATCAAAAGACGCGGTTAAAAGTGTTGGATGTGTTTTGTTGCTTAGTAACTCGGTCCGGAAAAGGAAGAGCCTTTGACTTTAGGTTTGCCTTTGCCTTTGCTTTTGTGTTGGCAAATTAAGTTAACCAAAAAGTTGTTTTGTTAAATTGTGTTTTATTTTGATTGTTTTAGTAATTATCTGGAACTATGAGGTGAGTTTTAGACTTAATTGTCTTTCAATTTATTAATCTATCAGTCATAAAATCGTGTTACTATGATGAATTATTTGGAATTACCGTTTGAAAAACATGAAACCAAACTCCAATGGCTGCTGTTTTTGTTTCTGATTTGATACATGATTTGATGACATTATGGTTACTACAATTTTACTTGTTCTACTTTCAATAACTGGTGACTAATTTTTCTTCTTTATTTTGTATGATTAATTTGTGACCCCTTCCGACTTTGGTTATAGTTCCCTTCGACTTCAAAAGAGACTCGCAGCTAAGGTTCTCAAGTGTGGTCTTGGCAAAGTCTGGTTGGATCCAAATGAGTCAAGTGAATTGGGAAATGCTAATTCAAGAGCTCACATTCGTAAATTAATTAAAGATGGTTTAATTATCAAAAAGCCAGTTGCCGTTCATTCTAGAGCCCGATGTCGAGCTAACACAGAAGCCAGAAGGAAGGGTCGACACACTGGACCAGGTAAAAGGAAGGGTACAGCTAATGCTCGTATGCCAGCAAAGGTTTTATGGATACGACGTATGAGAGTTCTTAGACGATTATTGAAAAAGTATCGAACTAATAAGAAAATAGATTCACATCTTTATCATACATTGTACCGTAAATCAAAGGGTAATGTTTTCAAGAACAAGCGTGTTTTGATGGAGACCATCCACAAGATGAAGGCTGAGAAATTACGAAGCAAGCAACTTTCCGATGCTGCTGAAGCAAGGAGACAACGTGCTAAGGAAGCTAGAAGGAGACGTGAAGAGAGGATTCAACAAAAGAAACAAGAAGCTTATTCTCAGTAATCTTGTGAATATCGTAATAAAGAATAATTAACCGGTATATTACATTAATCAGTGTTGATTCTTTTACGGAACTTTCAGAATTTAAAGCGTGAAATCTTTCAACTAGCTGTAGAAAAAATAATTTTCATTTCTTTATTCTCATAGTTGGTCTACTGTAAATGTTACATCTTACAATTGATTAGTCAAACACTTTTGTCACGTTGTATTTCACCATTTTAATACCACTATGATATTTATGGTTATCTTTTTGAGATCGAAATTCAACATTTAACTTGAATGGATTCTTAAAAACGATTAATCAAAAGGGGAATAAGAGCAAATATAGAAAATGTTCAGTGATGAAGGAGAATGAGGAAGACAGAAGAAGATAAATTCCATGAGACTGTGTATTAAGATTTCGAGGCGTTAACAAAGTTCATCTATCGAAATGGTTCTGAGTTTGGAAATTCATCTGTTAGCAGTAATAGTGAGCGTTTATTCAAAATGAAATTCTACTTAGTTCATGATCTCTGATGAACTAATCTAATAATCAACAATTGAATCATGTGCCATTCGTGTGATGATCAACAATCAACAAATTGTTTCCTTAGTTCCAACTACTAACAAGAGTAAATGACCTGCTAACTTGTGAAAATGTAACATTAAAAGTTATCAATCAAATCAACTAATTATTTTCACGTTTATCTTTGTTTCGAATTGGATTAAAATGTAAAACGATAAATATTCAAGTACACAGATTAAACTGATCGACATCAAATAAAGGAAAATGAAAATCACAATTACCGAAATTTTCTTGATTGTTAATTGTATTATCCCATTTGTATCAAGTGAAAATGTTCAATCACCATCACCTATTTTACCGACAAGTCATTCCAAACAAGAATCAATTAATCAGCATAATCAGAATCGATTGTCATCAATCAGTTTGAATTATCTTAAAAGAAAACAACTTAAAAACATCACAAAAAGATTTTTAAAGAGATTCCAAGTCGATCTTTCGACAATTAATCATGGAACTAATTATTTGCCATCTTCATCTCAACGGGAATATCAATCGATTGATTTGGACAACAAACCATCAATTGATTCTTCACCCTCATCATCACCTAAATTGTTATCTATTGACCTTTCAGTTCTCGATAGACCTTTGACCATTCCGATGATTTACTATGATGATTTCGAAGATCTGTCATTTCCCCGAGACAGTCGGTCAAATGAAATTGAAGACAATTACTATTCAAATAACCGAAATAATCATAATTCTTTTAATAGTTACAAATTTCCTCATGAAGAATCAACTGATGGCAATGATGATATGCCAAACGAGATACCTTTGGATCCGGTTTATTCGGATGAGAATGAAGATGATTTAATGGTAAATGATCAACACGAACTTCATTTTAATCAATTTCCTGAACATTTGTCAACTGGAAACGATGCATTAGCTGATTATCTAAATGATTTGAAATCATCTACAAATCGAAATCAGTTTAAAAATATTCTCAAACAAAACAATCATTTTCGACAATTGGAATCATCTTACCCAACTGAATCAGTTCATCGTCGATTTCAAAAATTTGGTTATCCAAATACAATTATCGATTTGTTTCCAATTAAGAGTAACAATTACATAGATCGTTATTCACCATTAACACCAATACACCAACAATTTGCCAATTGGCTCAGAAATGATCAACCAGGCTCATTAATGACCAATTATCCAACAGGTAAAAGTGAGACCCACGAAAATGATGGTGTTCAGGATAATCCTAATAAGTTCAGAGTTAATTACCACCAACCACATCAAGTTATTCCTCCTAATAAAGGTTTAATTGTAGATAAATCTATTTTAATGAATCATCTTCATCATCACCAACATCAACTTCCATCATCATTTAAATCATCTTTCTCATCAGCTGCTGGTTTTATTGAAAACGATAAAATAGATCGATCAGTTGATAGAGTTGCGAATTCATTGAACAATAATAAACCAATTAAATAGACTTAACTTGATTGTTAATTTGTTTCGTCGTTTAAATTTCCCATTGCATTAAAAATTTCACTAAATCCAATTATTGGAAAATTTTTGACAATCAAACTTAGTCGATTATGATCCAAGTTAATTTAATTGTATCATAATGAAAACATTTCATGTTGATTTGACTAATTGTTCATCTATCAATAATTCAATAAATTACTTCAGCACTTTAAATTCAAATCTTTTTAATGATTGGTCACAATATAAATCATCATGAAAATCGTGTTTCTGTTTGCATCAAATGAAATTAAACTTCTCTTTCTGATTTTTGATACAATTCATTTCTCATTTTATTTAAGTTTCAAAAAGTATCAATAATTAATCATCTTTACTCATAATCCATTATTAAACTTTAATAGTAGAAGATAATCAATTTCGTCTGAGAGCTTACAAAGTTACAATTAACTGAAAAGCCTTAAACCAGTTGATCAAAACGTAAAGTGAATTATTTTTCATTGTCAATAAAGAGGATTAATCTTAGTTATGGTCAGTATTTTATGTTATCAATGATCATTGATGGTCAAGTCCAATTCAGGTTTTCAATGGAAAATCCCTTCGACTTAAGTGTCGATACTCGAATGATGGATAACGATTGAGTTTCTTGATTTCGACGCTAATGGACATTAAATAGCAATTTTCTAATTGAAAATGATTCATAAACAAATATTGACAATTTAAATAGAATCTAAATAATGAATCAGGTAAAATTTTCTATTTTTATCCTTTCAGAATCATTGATAACACGAGTTAATCTGCATTCGACATTTGATCTTACTAATGGTTAGTTGATATTAATTTTCATCATTATACTGAGCGAATAGTCATCAAAATATTAATTAGTTGAAAACAGAAATCAAGTTTGATTTCTGCCAACAGAGAAATTCACTCCCATCGACAATTAAGAGAATAACTTTATTTTTATATTGTTAGTTGGTTATCAGGATTAGTTATTAGATATTAGCTTAGTGACTAAATCCCAGAGACTAGACTATGTCAATCAACTAATGTGACATTATAAATGTTTCATGAATTGATTTATTCAATGAAAATAATCAAACACTGACTGCCCATTGTTAATCCGTAAGACAGTTAATTAATGAGGAAAAATAGTTAACAACCTCATGAACCGATGATAACCTACTCTACGGTACAGTGATTAGTTAATCAATTTGATTCCTTTTGATTAAACAATGGGGTTTATTTTTATCAAACCTAATTGGATTTTTAATCATGATCATCATGATGAATAGATGAGCCTGGTGAGAGAGAAAGAGATGAGATGTAAATGAAATGGCGATAGGAAATTTCATTCATAATCTTATAAAGTTTTTGGCAATTTGATTATATGATAATAGGATTCTGGTTAACGGCAACTTCATTTGCCTATTTAGATCTTTACGATTTAATGTTATCATACTAATACAGTCGTCGCCAAAAGTTTTGCCAACAATTAGTTGATTCTAGTAATTTACTTGAAAGATTTCCTTTTGTACACTAATAATATCGTCATTTCATCATATTTTGATTGTTTCTTTTATTTGATAAGTGAATGATAATTTAGTCCATTGAGTTGCATAGAAATCGATTATCGATTAATTGTTAGTATTTTTTTATCATTTGAATCTCTGAATAATTACTATGAAATCCAATTGAACAATTTATAAACTGAAATCTTAACAGCTCATCACCATTCAATTGTTTATTCACCTCTTCTCTGGTTAACATTAATTTAAATCAACTGCCAATGTAAACACTAGTTAAAAGTTTTCATTAGTTGATCATCACAATATCAATTTACTCGATTAATTTTTCCAATTTATTCATTAAATCACAATAAATCCATTAATACAACACAAGTGAAAAGTCAAATGATGGGAGATGGAAACATCAACTGATCATTTGATGATCTTTGTTGCGCTCATTAATTAATTCATTATACATAAGCAAATAAGCTAAATAGTATCAATCATGCAATCATCTCATTGTAATCGAAGCAAATGAAATCTTATTAGATTGTTTAATCGATATTTGTTTAGAAGAAAAATGATGTTATCAACAATTAGATCTCATTTGATTTAGTTGATTATAGTCAGTTTGTCAATTGATTGACGAACTTATTGATATGCCTTTAACTGCTCGTCGACGATTGAAACGTAAAAATGGATCAATTTCCCCTGAAGAATATAAATTCCTTTATTCAAATGGAACAATTAATTTCTCACCAAGTGACCTTCCATGGTATTGTCAGGGTGTAACGAAGGCCAGTGCGAATTATGCGTCAACTTATTTGTCGTCGAAAGTATTAGGAGTTAATGGTAATATTAACCCTCATCGTCCATCAACCGGAATTGCATTTGGCGATGTTTTCCCTCCGGCAAACACTTTGCCCTTTCATCAACCTTCACATAAAAGTCCACGAATACCAAATCTAAATCAACATTTATCTCATCTTCGTTTACCAAGACTCTCACAAACAGGACTGACCTCGCCTTCAGCAGCTCCGGTCATCATATATCGTGACCCTGGTCTCTGTCGTCCAAACGATTTGACTATTCTCTTTTCTGATTCCTCTGTCCCCGGATTGAGAGAGATTTGTCATTCAGATTCATTTCTACGTAAAATTGTTTGGTTCATTGTCTTTACTTTGCTCGGGTTTCTCGCTTTGCGTGATATTCATCAACTTTTATCCGAGTTCTACAACTACCCTGTAACCGTCGATGTCCGATTGAGAGAGTCCCGTAAACTACCATTTCCCGCAGTGACAGTTTGTAACCTGAACATCGTTCGTTCAGTGCTCTTTGTAACAGCACCTTCCTTGCCAGGAGCAACTACACTTTGCCTCCTGAACTGAAGGAAAAACTTTGTGGTACAGTTGCAACAACTCTCAACATAGTGAGTAAACATTTCTATTAAATTGATATTAATAAATCATTTTACGAATACTTGAATGAGCTCTCATAAGAACTCTTGACATTACTTCGTCTGTGAATCATTAATAACCTTTCACAAGCAAGAGAATTAGTTTCAAGCTCAGTTGGTTTCATTTGAATTAAATTCAAACATAACGAAGATCAAACTTCTGAACCAGTTAATTAAATGAAATTAATATTTTTTTATTCTCACTCGATCTTCATTTTGTCATTTAGTTTTTTTCTACTTACAAGTGATTAAAACTATCAACTGAAGCAATAAAATACTTTGACTTTGTGACAGTTACCCTAAAGGAAGATGTAATAATCTTCAATGAAGATGAGAGGACAAATAAAAAGAAAGATAAACAATCAGATTGATGATTAATTTTTCTCATTACAAACAGACTTCAGTTGAAGATATAAATGATATTGGTGATAAAAAAGGCGAAGATGAAGCTGTTGGTGTTTCTGCGACTCTCGCTGACAGACTGAGTCCCACTTCTCCATCACCGACGACAGAGAAAGGAGGTGGAAATTCCGGAAGTGGTAATAGTGTAGGAAGTGGTGCAGGGACAAGCGGGGAATTGGGAGTGCAAGTTCAGCCTCAATTGGAGGCGGTGGTGGATCTGCAGGGGGAGAAACTAGTGGAGGTAATTTGGCATCACCATCGAGTCGGAGTAAAAGACAAACTTGGAGAAATCGTGGTGGCACTGGCGGAGGTGGAACGGGTAATAGTGGAAGCGGTGGTGGAAGTAACAACAAGGGACCTCCGGCTATTAATCTAACAGCCAATCGACCTCAAATTCCTCCAGGGCAGCGAACCACAACTCCAGCCTATGATCAGAACGTTTCACAAGATGAAATTGAGTTGACTGAACGAGAGGAAAAAGAGCTACAAGAAAATCTAACCACTTGGTTGGCAGTTATGGCGAATAAGGATAAACACTTAACTTATCAACTCGGTCATCAATTCGAACAGTTGATTCAAAGGTGTACAATTAAATCGACTAATTGCACACACATAAAGTAAGTCCTCGTAATAATTGAGAATTATAATGAATAGATTTGGCTGAGATGATTGACAATTTATCGATGAGACAGGATTCAGGTAAACTGAATCAAGGGTTGGAAATGTGGGTGGATAGAAACATTTGGTTAATGTCACACGAAAGTCAATGCAAAGGTCAATTAACTTGGATATTAATCGTGATATTTTAATTTCAGGAGCTTCGATTTCTCGTTTACACCAACTGAAGGTAATTGTTTCACTTATCGATCTAAGACTCTGGAAGGTAAAAGACACAAACAAGTAAAACAAGAGGAAACGAGTCTTGCTGGAGTTGATCATGGTAAGTTCATTTACTACTAAGATCAAATATCGCAAAAATTTACCTTGAAACTTAAAATAAACAAAAGGTTTGTTTTCAGAATCCTTAAGAATCCGAGTTTACTTTCATGATGATGCAACCATATTTGTCTGATCAGTTCAAAAACTAAATGAATAGTAAAGAAGATTGAACCATAATAATTTCCTGAACATCGCTGTGATTATCATTGTTATCATGTTAATTGTGTTAATATTACTACAACAATTTGATTCACAAATTTCAATGTTGCCTCAGGAAAAGTGAAAATTTTATTTATCGAAATCAATCAGTTTCCATTTCAAATGTAAATAATGAACTAGATAATGTCTATTTACTCAATTCTGATCTAGTGTGACTGGAAAAGTATAATAAATGACTTAGGGCTGATTCCAAGTTTCCGTTGTAATAATTAAAATTTTATTTCCTCGATTTGAACAATTTAAAGTGATATTCTCATAGAACAATAAATTTTTATTATGTTATTTGGTTTGATTGGTCCTCGGAGATCATTATCCGTGTGCATGATAATAATATCAATCGAAGAATCAGTTCCCTCTCAATTGTTATAACTTTTTATTAGAAAAACTTCACAATCAATTCAATGAAAAGCGAATCTATTTTTATTTTATTCATGTTTCTTAGAACAGAATATTTGCTAGAATTATAATATCATCGAGAGCTCTTATTCTTGAGTAATCTGATGAATTTTTCCTTATATTTGTTCAAATTCTTTCTTTATTACTCATTACAAATGACATGACCATTCGATAGCATGATTTTATTAATAGCTCTGGAATCTCCGAGATATTTCATGTTCTCATTTGACCAAAATAACTTTTGATTCTAATGATATTCTTGATATGGATTATCACTATACTCTAAACAGTAATATTAGAAACGATAAGATCCAAAATTCAAATGATTCCGATCATAAAGGTTTCTCATGTTATCATTTTCCCTAGTTACCAAATAACTTTATCAGTTCTGACAAAATCCTAGTAGATCATGAAAACATTGAATTTTGTCAATTTTCAGGTAAGCAAATCAATCTAATTGAATTTCGAACAATTTCCAGTCTATTATCTTGAGACTATTGCAATAGATTATTATCAGTATTACACGAAATACCAAAAATTATTATATTTTGAGTTGTATTATTAATACAATTAAGATAATTTCAATCAAATTAATCATTAATATTCATGAAGAATGGACGGATTAGCATTTGCGGGACGAAAAGTTTGAAATGTTGATTCCAATTCATCTTATTGCTTTGAATTTCATTCTAGCCAACCACTTGAAACAACCTTTCAATTGTATTAAACATTTGATTGATATTTTCTTTGTGATATAATTTGATTTACAATTAAAATGTTGCGAAAATTGAATTTCAAAATGTTGATTACATGTTACTTTAAAGAGTCACCTTTGGGAATGTCAAATAATTAAGAGATGTAAAAATTAAATTATAAACAAGGTTCATAAATGAATAATTCAACGTTCAGACTGCTCTTATTCAGATTTTGATTATTTTTAAAAAGAAGATTAATTGTAATCATTTAACAATAATTAAACAATTAGAAACTAATCACTGTGCCAAAATCTTGGAGTCAATGGAGTTATTTTATTAGTATTAATACAAAGATGATTTCTGATTAGAATTAACTTCTTTAATACTCGTCTGTAATTAATCATCAATTCTAAAAAATCAATAATATCTTGTATCTTTTGAATTGATGTTTTAATTAACCTTCAATGAAACGTGTATACTAATTAGAAACTCGATTATTGATTAAAAGTTTATGGAAACAGATGAGAATAAGTCTATCCAGTTAACTTAACGGTTCTGATTTCAAAGGTTTAGAATTGGTTCTGAATTTGGAAGTCGCTGAATATCTTCCTGGAACTGCTCAGGTCGGTGCTTTGGTTATGGTCCATTCGCCGGATGAGTTTGGCATCTCTGCAAGCGAAGCCATTTTCGTGGGCCCAGAAAGAGCGAGTTACATCGGGTTGAAGATGATTCGAATAACCAGATTACCTTCACCTTATCCTGAACATTGTATCGATCACTGGCCTGAAGGATTAACTGGATCTCTTACTCGTAACTCGACTTATTCCCAACAGAGTTGCCTCAAAATTTGTCTCCAACGTACAATCCAAATGAGATGTCGATGCCAATCAGCTTTTCTTAATCAATTTGAACTAAATGATACCAATCTAAGGATTTGTGACACCAGAAGGAAAAGCAAGTTTATCTTTATATTAATAATATCACCATTTATCTAATCAATTGTTACTGAATCGTGAGTTATAAGCAAATATAAAACAGATTGACGAGTAACCTATTGAGCTTCAAAGCATTTATATCAATCAACTTAATTGTTTATCTGAATTTCCTCGAATACCTGATACCAGTTGTGAGAATCATGATATTCACAAAAGAGAATCTGAATTATCTACAAGTTCATGTGAAAATTAGAAAATAAACATAAATACAATTAATAGAAAGTGAGAGATAACTGAGAATGATAATGAAAAGAAATCTGATTTATTTACCCATGTGAATAGTAATCAGATTAAGAATAATTATTAATTCTAGTTAAATGGTTAATTCAATTAATCTGCATTTAATTATCATCATCCTACAGATACACGTAAATGTGTCGAGGAAGTGATGTTAAGACCTGAAAGCAAAATTGATAATTGTATGTGTCCACCTCGATGTCAGTGAGTATAACAATTAACAATGAACAAATAATAGCAATTAAAATAATGACCAGTGTTACAATTAGAGGCCATAAAAAACAATGATAACAATTATTAATATCATGAAAATGTTCATGTAACCAACTGATAGTAAAAGTTATTCACAAAAAGGCCGAGAATTGTAACAATAGATTGTTATTATTATATCAACACCATAGTTCATGATTGTCATCAATTTATTGTTAATATTATGTATTCATCTTTTTATTTGATTACAGAGTAACTCAATATGAGAAAACGGTATCCCTTGCTAAATGGCCCACACGAGAGGTATTCATTATTAATACAATTCTAGTATCATAAATAATCAATTTCTGTCAATAATCAATAACACAAACAATCAATTGTCGATCTAATTGAATGAGAAAGAATCACAATTTACCAATAGAAAATAAGAACCGAAACAAAGTGAGTCAGCAATCAGCATAATAATTTAGATCACTTAACAAGTATTAACAGTTATTCAGTCAAAGAATTTAGTTTTTCCATGAAAAGAAAATGCATTTTCAATGTAATTCAAATGATGGTAAAAAAAGAACAATGTTTTTCTCATGTTATCATCATGTTTCTTATTTTAACTCTAAAAGTTATTCTTGTTACTTGGAATCAATGAAAAATCAGGTAACATTTAATTTGATTGTGAAAATAGTCGCAAATCATTAAGACTAAATGACCAAGACAATTACCGTTTCTAGGCAATGATCAAGATAATCATTGTCATGATAATGTTGATAATGTCACTTTCACTCATCTCATTGGATTGCATGTGAAGTCAATTCTCATTTCCATGAAAAGATTAATATTCATTGTGAATAAAATTCACATTGAAATTGGAATGAAATTATAGGAAAAACCTTCAATTATCGTTTGGAAACAAAAAGAGATGAACTTTTATATTATCATAATTTTTATTGCTCCAATTGAATAGAAGATGAAAAATCAATAGTTGATTAGCTAATTGAATTTCCATTATTGCTCAAAGGGTTTTCACTTTTGGTGAAATTTTATCAAAAATGTTGTTGCTCTTTTCTGATTAACTGCAATTTAAATTTCTAAAAATATCTAATAACTTGTTTATTGAATAAAAATCTTTAATTAACAATTAATTCTCACTTTACGATTAATTAACAGGATCGAGTATCATTTGATCGAGGAGATAAAACTCTTGATTTTAAGTAAGTTAATCGTTTTCAAAACAAGATCCATTCCAATATTGACTCATCTTGATTCTTTTACTCTGCTATTTGTTAAATTACTTTTCGAGTGATTATCAATAATTTCATTCGAAAAGAAAATTGAATTAACATGAGAGAAATTGAATTGATTGATGAGACTTTAAACTTCGTTTTTGAACATTTGATTTTGATTCTAATTTGAATCAGTTCATTTTCTCATTAGGAATCTAGCGAAAGTTGTTGTTTATTTCCAAACAATGACAATGCAGGAAGTGTCACAACAAGGAGCTTGGACAGTAAGTAACCAATTCGCTGCCAACAACCAAATCAACTAATCGTTCATTTATTTCGTTCAGACAGCGAAATTGTTGAGTAGCCTCGGGGGCTTCATGGGAATGTATGTTGGCTTCTCGTTCTTATCATTGTTCGAAGTGTTTGAAGTGATCGCTCGACGTATTTGGTATTCGTGCACAAGGAAGAAGATGCGATTCAAGACAATCGTCCAAACAATTATAGCGACACTTCAGTACAAAAAGAAACAAGACTCGAAAAAATTACAAGATCAAATTAACCCTTTCTGATGATTTCCTCGAGATTTAATCATCATTCATCGATAGTTAGAATTAGCAGTCGAAAAGAACTAAACGAATCTCAATTAACTTTCTTTTTATTCTTTTAATTACTTTAAACAGTATTTGAGATGAATTTACTTTTCGATTTTCCAATTGTTCGAAAACATTAAAGTTTCCAACAGTACCATGAGTTAAAAGACTATACGAGTTATCCACTGATTTACTTAAAGGGAAATATAATTGGTTCTTGAGTGGAGATTTATTAATAGAAAATAATTGAAACTATTAAAAGTATTCGGGTACATGGTTAAAGTTCAAATTGAAATTTTATTTTGGGTATAAATCATGGTCGAGTCATCGATATGGAATCAAAAGAAACCATCCAAATGGATGTTGTCTGTCCAGCAGATTGAGGCTTTTGTTTATAACATCTTTAGAGGAGCAATTAAGAGAAACAATTTATCACAGATAAGATCGTCTTTTTAAGAGAGTTTTGGCGTTAATTTGAATATACGCCGATGATTTGATCATCATGGTCCAAAGGATGAAAATTCGAAATAAATGATCGAATGTTATTTTATCTTATTTTACAGTCACGTTTTTTAAACTAGTTTGAGTGGAACCTCATCAGTAGAATGAAAGATGATGGAAACCAATGTTTTGCTTAAGGAATCTGCGAAAGCGTTTTGAACGACCGTTTTTAAATCTTTTTCTCCTGATTCTTTCCAATATTTAACGATTGTTGATAAATTTGGACAATTAGATAAACATTGAGGGTTCGGTGATGCCATAACTTCAATTAAAATTTTGGCAAATTTATCTTCCTCGGGTCTCAATGTTGACGATGCTTGAGAAAGATAACTAGCCAACATCGGATAATCAGTTGCTACCTGTCGACCAGCTTGACATGCTATTGATTCCTTACACTCGTCACTGTCCAGTCCAAGAACGACCATCGCTTGTTGAACCAATGGTTCCAGTTCAGTCACCTGGTTGAGTTTCTTGACAAAGAATCAGTTGAACCAACCAACGGCTCACAACTGGACCAAGATTACGAGCTGATCTGGCGATTGTTGGTCCAACAAATAAGATGTCACCCGAATAAAGATAAAGACCTTTGAAGGGCTTCAGCCAGTCCTGGTACAGGATTTGTTAAAGCTCGAATCATAATTGGAACCACAGTGTCAACAAGTTGGTTCTGTTTGACAATTAGTTCTCGTAATAACTCTACAGCGGGCAAAGCTTCAATTGTTTCTATTATATTCTCAGGACCCAAGGGCATTGACGGCGATGAAACTGAGGAGGTTTGAGGAACCATTGTGTTTGGTCGTTGGCTGGATAGGTCAAAATTCACCAATAAAATTAAACAAATTAAAATAAACACACTTGTTGATGAACTATTCATGATGTGGAAATTAAAATGATTGCAAAGCAACACTAGGAAAATAATAATTAACTGGTAAAAGTGATGAGAAACTGTTTCAGTTTAATTGACTTAAAATTGTGATGACATTAAACATAAGACACTTGATCTTTTATATCAATTCAACTTTTATTCAAATTGTACAATTAATTACAAGGAAAATCATTGGACAATTTAATCAACCACATAATCTTAAATTCTCTTCCTAATTGGCTAATCATTTTCTTAAAACATCTTTAATCACTGAAAGGTTAAAAACAGAAAAGAAATTAATTTTTTTCTTTTCTTTACTGGCGCCACCTCTTTTTAGAACAAATTTTTCTTTTCTTTTTTAGTTCCTCGTTAATTGTGCTTAGAATAACCTTTTAAGGTGAGTGATTAAAGATGTTTTAAGAAAATGATTAGCCAATTAGGAAGAGAATTTAAGATTATGTGGTTGATTAAATTGTCCAATGATTTTCCTTGTAATTAATTGTACAATTTGAATAAAAGTTGAATTGATATAAAAGATCAAGTGTCTTATGTTTAATGTCATCACAATTTTAAGTCAATTAAACTGAAACAGTTTCTCATCACTTTTACCAGTTAATTATTATTTTCCTAGTGTTGCTTTGCAATCATTTTAATTTCCACATCATGAATAGTTCATCAACAAGTGTGTTTATTTTAATTTGTTTAATTTTATTGGTGAATTTTGACCTATCCAGCCAACGACCAAACACAATGGTTCCTCAAACCTCCTCAGTTTCATCGCCGTCAATGCCCTTGGGTCCCGAGAATATAATAGAAACAATTGAAGCTTTGCCCGCTGTAGAGTTATTACGAGAACTAATTGTCAAACAGAACCAACTTGTTGACACTGTGGTTCCAATTATGATTCGAGCTTTAACAAATCCTGTACCAGGACTGGCTGAAGCCCTTCAAAGGTCTTTATCTTTATTCGGGGTGACATCTTATTTGGTTGGACCAACAATCGCCAGATCAGCTCGTAATCTTGGTCCAGTTGTGGAGCCGTTGGTTGGTTCAACTGATTCCTTTGTCAAGAAACTCAACCAGGTGACTGAACTGGAACCATTGGTTCAACAAGCGATGGTCGTTCTTGGACTGGACAGTGACGAGTGTAAGGAATCAATAGCATGTCAAGCTGGTCGACAGGTAGCAACTGATTATCCGATGTTGGCTAGTTATCTTTCTCAAGCATCGTCAACATTGAGACCCGAGGAAGATAAATTTGCCAAAATTTTAATTGAAGTTATGGCATCACCGAACCCTCAATGTTTATCTAATTGTCCAAATTTATCAACAATCGTTAAATATTGGAAAGAATCAGGAGAAAAAGATTTAAAAACGGTCGTTCAAAACGCTTTTGATGATTCGATTAGTAAAAATCCAGTAACATCAGTGGCTATTTAAGTCAACATGACTTTCTAAAAGAAGACGATCTTATCTGTGATAAATTGTTTCTCTTAATTTCTCCTAAAGATAGAACTCATTCTGAACAAAAGCTCTGAATCTGCTGGACAGACAACATCCATTGGATGGTTTCTTTTGATTCTATATCGATGATTCGACTTGATTTATACCGGAAATAAAATTTCAATATGAACTTTAATGGTGTATTTGAATACTCTTAATTACAATTATTCCTAATCATCAAGAAGCAATTGAATTATATTTCTCTATTAGTTTGTCCATCTCCTTGATAAGCTCATCATCGGTCATTTCAAATGAGTTATCGGCCCAAATAGTTTTCAATTCGGACATAACTTGACTTATCATTTGACGTTTTTTCATTTTTGGTCCAATTTTGTCGCCTCGAAGCGGGAAAACCGGAACTGTCCAATCGACAATATCATTGTAAACATCTTTTGCTCCTTTGTACTTAAGTAACTCGAGGATTTGTCGGTGAGATGCTTTTTGATTAGATTTCGAAGTGAGAATAAGAAATTTTTGTAAACTTCGCAAGGAAAGATCATGATTATTGTTTCGTTTGTTCAGGATCATTGAACTGATTTCTTTCTCGAGATTTGACATTCTTAATCGGGTAATTAGACTGATCTGTTCTTCTGGTGTTCTGATTAAACTGGTGAATAAAGTGATGGGCTCAAATGGAACGTCCATCGCCCAAACATTTCCATGAACACTATTGAATTGTTCCAAGTCCATAGGATTCACATTAGTATAAAAGCCCATGTGAGTTGCAACATTGGCCTGGAATAGTAAAGGAATAACTTTATTGCAATTACGTTGACTGAGCGTTTTCTTCATTTCTGACCAAATTCTTTCCCCGCTAATATTGGCCAACCCATCAACATTATCGGTCATGGCCTTCACGGTCTCTTCTTCGTGTTCTTTACGTCCAAATCTTGCATAAAACCTAAAGTATCTCATGATCCTGAGATAATCTTCTTGAATTCTTGATGTTGGATTTCCAACGAACCTAATGACTCCTTCCTTTAGATCATTTTGACCATCGAAAAAGTCAATAATTGTTCCATCCAAATCCATGAAAATCGAGTTGATGGTAAAGTCGCGTCTCAAAGCATCAAGTTTCCAGTCTTGAATGAATTCTACCTCAGCGTGTCTTCCGTCCGTCACCTTATCGATCCTTAAAGTAGTTATTTCAAACATTTTAGATCCATTGATCAAAGCGGCGACGGTTCCATGTCTCTCCCCTGATGGAGTTGTGATTAACCTTATATTTTCCCGATTGGAGAGAATTTCAATCATCTTGTCTGGAGTCGCGTCTGAAGCCAGATCATAGTCATTCGGCTGTGTGTTCAGTAATATATCACGAACAGCACCACCAGCCAATCTTAAAAGATACCCGCGGTTGATGAACAGATCGGACAGTAATTTGAGTTCCGGCATGTTAAGAATCTCCTCCTTGACCGATGGTCCTGATACTTTCGCCATGGCAATTGAATTTGAGTTCACTAAGCTAAAAGTCTTGCAAAGGCTATGGAAAAGCCTCATCAGATCAAAACGAAAGATTTGAGAAACAAATTATAAACAATTAACACAAAAATGGGATAATAAAATTAAAAGAAAAACTGAAAGCACAAGAACATGTGATATGAGAATGTAAACATTTGCTTTCAATTGTTTACGCATGTCAACCAATTAACATTTGGTCGATCGACCAGCAGATTGATTGTTAATTAAAATCCACTACTTTCATTGAAATTCTAAAATGAATTTGCTCAACTTTAAAACAAAATCAACCAGATTTATGCTACAGTTTATCACTTTCCTTCAGCATTCGTTGCATTGAGAGAAATGATGAATGAATGAGTGAATTGAAAAGATTGAACAGAAGAACCAGAACTTTCTAGAAAATTCGCTTGGGGTCTCTGCTTTCGAATAGCAGTTTAGAAGCTTTAAAATTCAGCTGAGAGACTCATTGAAATTTTCTGGTTGTTTTGTTTCGATTGTCATTAGTAATTGTTTTTTCTTTATTATTTTGTGTTCATCTTAATTGCATTTGAGTGAAGTCATTTTCTTCTCTATTCATTGAGTCGACGAACACTAATCTTGATTTCTCTCTCATTCATTGGATGAAGTATATTGAAGAAATTAAGAAATGATGTTTTTGCCCAATTCAGAAAGGCAAATTAATCTGTCCTCCAGGTGAGTTGATCAACTATTGGCTATAATGGGGCTTTTGATTTATCCATTTTCTGATTTCTTGTATACTTATTTATTTATTACAGTGATTACAGGACACCAACTAGTATTCTAAGTTCACTTGGATTCAACGCAAATTATAATCCTCTCAATACCGATCCTGTGACTAATCCAACCAATTTGAATGGTGTTAATAACATGATGGACAATTATAATAGCTTTTGGTCACATACTGTCCCTACTAACATGCCTTGGGCTCAGCCACAAATGCAGCCAAATCCTACAAATTTGAATCCTTTTGTAGCTCATCCTTACATTATGAGATTTACTGCTGGACCATCAATTTACAGTAAGTATTTCGTTAAATGTTCCCTTTCATCTCTTAGGCCTCATTTGAGTTTTGCATGTATTCGTTTCTTTATTTACCTTTTATTTTATTTACCTCATACCTTGATTAGACGAAATTTGCTCTCCTGATCCATGTACTTCTCAAACTGCTACTGAATGGGAACTTTTGAATAAACTTTCTTCAGGAACTGGAACCTGTACGTCCAACCTACATTTAAAGAGACGAAAGAGTTCAGATGATGAGGATCTTGACGAAAACATTGGTCAACCACCTACAAAACAGTATATCAGTGAAGATAAAGTGACAGCAAAATTCAATGAAATGAGTCTAAGCAATGTTGAATCACTGGATCATGCAAACTCACCTACCAGAGAAGATGATGAATTTGAGAGCGAAGAGGAGATCTCAAATGACGACCTAAAACCTACTATTGTACTTTCAGATGAAGTTAAACAAGCTTTAAACGCTCGTAACGACAGGATTGAGCGACTTTTCCAAGACGAATTAAATAAGTCAACTAAATCACTCGTTCTCTGGCAACCTCCGATTGGATTACTACCTCCTCCATTGAATGTATATCAAAATGAAAAGAAGGAAGAGGAAGAGACGACCATAAATATTCCTAAATCTTTTGAATCATTGGAGGTCGATGTCGATACTTGTGATAACTGCCTCATGGATGCTAATGAGATGATGGACTTATGATCATGAATTTTTCACTTTCACTTCTTTTTCAATCTTCCTTTTTGTTCGCAGATTTATGAGATTAATTCCGATATTGATTATACCCAATACCTGGATTCATTTTACATAATATGATATAAATTCTTGTCTGTTCAATGATATGACAATCTCATTGCACATAATGTTTAAGTTACCAAAATCAACCACCATTAAATTATAAACCACTAAAATTGTCTTATAAAATTTGTCTCGTTGTTTATACATGAATCCCAGTGGGTGCACTTTAATTAATTTTGATATAATACTTAAAATAAAAATACAACAGCTTTAAATTAATTAACAAAATTGTTGATACTTCATAAAAATGGCTTCTTCTTATCGAAAGTTTCTCCAAGTGAATTGATGAAAGTCTTCCCATTGATTATATGCGTGGTTCCAATAAGAAATTCAACGTTTACTGTAAAGTAGAAAATGATTAATTATTTCAGAGCGAAAATCAAAGATCTCAATAATGGTACAAGAAAAGTTCGCAACTTACAATCGGCTCGTTGTGATAACAAACGAAGAGCAGATATTTCGGCAAAAGTAACTCCACCAATGAAGAAAACCAAAACGACTTTAGGTTCGCCTGATTGTGTTGGTGTGGATGCAGAAGAATCGGAATTAAGGCCTTTCTGAAGTCCGTTTGGAATGACCTGTGTTGTTTCAAATGTTGGTTCTGGAAGCAACTTGAGAGCTTCGGGAATCGCTCTCCAACCAGGGTAGATCATGAACTCTGCGAGTCGAACTGAAAGAGGAGCATAACCACTGTAGACATAAGTGATGTCATTATCAGGACCAGAACTTTTCTCTTTAGTTAATCGAAATGTTTTTCTAAGTATATTGTAGTTTTTCACAAGAATACTCGTTCTCTGTTTGATGAGACCAGACTTTTCTAAATTGTTCAAAGTAACAAGATGTTTATATCGATATGTTTGAAGAATCTCACGGAAATAATGGTCGACAGTTTTACTTTTAAGGCCGTTATTTGTGAGAGATTGAAGGCAAATCAGTCGCAGTACCTTGTCCAGTGATTCTTGCTGAGCAATACAATCTTCAATGTAAGTATTAACTTTGTCCGTGTCAACACAATTAACAAACAATTGTTCCACTTCCACTGTTTGGTTAAACTCCTCGGTGTCCACAATGGTTTTGACAATCTCAGCAATGGAAGTTTGATTTCCAAGACTATTCCTGACTGCTTGAAGTGACGGCAATTTCTTCATGAACAGTTTCATTTCATCGACACTTTTTGCTTCATGTCTCTCGTCAATCAAGACCGATAACTTTTTTGCATTATCTCTGATGATCGGTCCGACATCGTAGAAGGTTTTGTCGCGTATTTTACTGTAAATAAGATCAGTTGAATTCAAGCGGAATGATTTGACTTCAGTCGGTGGGTCATTCACACCATCGGCAGTATTGTTACGAATTGAGCTGCTTTCGTTGGACTTGTTAAGTTTGTCCGAAGGTATCTTGATGATTCCATTGTTGATCCCGAATATTTCATCGAGTAGACCTTCGAAAGTCATCTGACTCATTAAGGGTGATACAAAATCAACAGATCGATCAATTAGTAGAAGATTATGTATTTGTGGAACAATTTGTGACTCTTTGAGAGACATTTCTTTGCCTAATTTAGTCATCAAGTCAAAGACTCTTTGAGCCCATGGACCTTGTCCATTGACTGTTTCAATGATACCAAATAATGATTGAAGCGTCATGATGGCTCGAGCTACATGAAGTAAACAGGAATAATCTTTGTCAATGAGAAGCTCTTTACAACAATCAGCAAGTTGCATTGAAATGACATCAGAATCCAGTGGGAGTATTTCAATGGGATATTCATTGATACTCGTAATCATTGACAAGACTCCATAATCTTGAAGCTTTTTCTCACAATGCCAACTCTTGTAGGGCATTAATAGAAGATGAATGTCCTTATTCAACGATTGTCGGGTTTCTCCTTGCAAATTGTCAGCGACAATCTTCATGAGAGATGCTTTAGAACGAAGAAAGTAAATCAAACAATCCGCTTGGATGGTCGGCAATTTCTCTGGTCTCAGATGAAGCATTTGAATGACCCCACATTGTTTGAGAAAAGTGAAATCAGCAGCGAGCTCAATGCTTCCAAGTATCTTTCCATCCCAAACGATTGCCTGGATAATTAAAAGTCGAAAGCATAATTAGAATCAACCAACAGCGAAAAAAGTCAAACACGAGAAAATCGCCTTACCTTAGTTCCATTGAATTTTTGTAAACAAGATCGTAATTCATTTCTTGCAACTTCTTTCAAAATCGAAATGTTTAAACGGCTTGACAAATAATCCATGATTAAAGTGACAATTTAATGCACAAACCAAAACAAGAAAATAAAATTTAACAAAACACATGAAATTTTGGCGCATTAATTTAAACTCATTTCGTTGATTACGATTTTCATTCGTAATTCTATTTATAATTCGCCGGTATATAAATTAAATTGTTCAACTATCCAGATTCATTAATCGTGAAGATGAGAAAATATTTGCCATCAAAAGCCAATAGCTAAGGTAATAAAACAGTAAAAATGATTGATAATTAATTGTTATTTTCAATCGAATATGGAAGAGAATTACTCATCATTAGTTTTTTCTTATGTTGCTGATGATCGAGATTCTCACTTATTATCCTCCCTATTTAATAATAATGAAAAGAAACTATAATTGTATATGTGATAGTAATTAACTGTTTCTATTTGATAAAACAGTCAACGAATCTTTTAAAATTCTGATTCACTCTGAACTGATTCCCAACTTCATTCTAATTCAAATTAATCGCTTACCGAATTGTTGCTCCATTTGATCGCCACGAACAAGAAAATTCGATAAAATCAAAATTTTGCTTATTTGCATGGTGTTGATGTTGTTTTCTTGTGATTACTCACAATTAATCGATGAGATAAATTAGCAAAGTTACCAAATGAATCAAATGAATTACATCGGTTATTGTATTTAAAAAAATATCAGAAAAATGAATAAACAGAAAATGAGAAAAACATATAAGAAAGTTATACAAGAATTAAATAAATTATTAAAAGGACTTGGCTATAATTTTACTAAAGATGTTCAAGAAGATAATTAAGAAAATAATTAAAACGATTAAATTACTTCGAAAATTAATCAAAGAAAATTCAAAAAAGGCGGTTTCCAATTTGATTGGTTCGCTGTTGGGTTGACATTTTGTTGATGAATTTAAATGAAAACAAGTCAATAATAAAATTGATATGATGGTAAACTTTTTTTGTTGTGTTGTTATTAATTGTTAGTGTTTGTTTTTTTTCTTATTTATTTATTTTTTTTGTCATTCCTTAATTGGTCACTCGATTGAAGGATTCACCATAATATGCCAGAGTATGAAAAAGTCAACGAGAAAGCTGCTTCCGATTGGGCTGCCACGGTGGATGATAATTGTATCACTTGGGATCATATTTTGAAAGCATATCGACTTCATCTGAAATCTTGTTCTGTTAAATCTAATCCTTGCAAGTAAGTTGACCCACACTGACTTACCTAATTGCCACTTACATGACTTCCGCTTCCATTCAATCGCTTCTACCTGCATTCATTATCTTCTGTACTAATCACTTTCTCATTCTCTCAACAGGCGAAACTGTAGTAATAACCCAAAGTGCATCAGTGGTTTAGGGGAGAATCGTTTACTCAACACTAAGGAAGGCACCAATATTAATTTGGAGGATGAGGAAAGACGAGAACCAGGATCTTTCGCTGGCTTGAAGAATCTTGGAGCTACTTGTTATGTCAATAGTCAGTTGCAGGTTAGCTTTGAACATCGAGATGGCAATAGAAAGATTTTGTGTACATGAGATTATTGAGTACTAGTCTTTCAATGTTACCTTAGAATTGAGTATTTACTTGCATTGTAGAACAGTCTCATTGAGACAAATAAATTACAATTATCAGTTTGATTACTACGTAGACATGGCCAGGTCATAAATTTGTAATCACATTTAGGTGTTGACAACTTCATAAATGATGAGAGACATTTGTCATCCTGTCAATTTACTCATTTACTACCTGAATTGTCAGTCCAAGATTTTTCCTATTATCAAAACAGTAATTGGTCAGTTATGTTTACTCATTGTTTCAAGTCAAAGTAAACTACTTTTGCTTTTCTTTTGTACCATGAAATTAATCAAATTAATTTCTTAATTTGGTATTTTATGTCCACATCAGTCTATTGTCATCATGAGAAATTTGCTGCATTCTACATTCACCAAGCATTTGACTGTTTAATATTTTAAATTGTTATTTTTACACTTGTTCTTCTCTAGGTTTGGTACCACAATCCGTTCTTAAGGGAAGCCATTTATAAATGGAAACCCGATGACGACGAAAAGGAGATTTCGGCTCAACTCAACAGAGCAGTTTCACTGACTGATCTTTCCTCAGGGACCCAGTTCAATCCCGTCTCTCCTGTCGGACAATTACAATTAATATTTGCGCGATTACAGTTTAGTGCAAGACGCTATGTCGATCCAACCCAATTTGTAAATAGTCTACAACTTGATGTTTCACAACAACAAGATGCTCAAGAGTTTAGTAAACTTTTTCTAACTCTTCTTGAAGACGATCTCTCCTCACAAAAGGACCAAAAAGTTAAAAATATCGTTCAAACGCAATATTGTGGCGAATATGAATATGTGACTAGGTTTGTATTAGTCATTTCAATTAAATTTTTCAACTCTTTCTCTTTATTAACTGTTCTTTCTGTTTCTGTTGATCCCTCTAGATGCAGCAATTGTGGAACCGAGTCATTCTCACCGTCAAAATTTTATGAACTAAGTCTTAACATTAGAGGACATAAAGATATTCACCAGTGTTTAGATGAATTCTTTTCGGTAATTAATTATCATATATTTTTATTACTGTTCACTTTTCCTCTCATTTTGCAATTCATTCACAACTGGATGTCGATTGAACTCTTGTTTTGTTCTTGACTCGTTAGAATGGCGAAAAGTAGAATATTAACCCATTGGATTGTAATCCAATGTACCTTCAATTAGAAATGTAATTAGACTTTTCCATTTTGATAATCCAAAACCATAAATGAATGGAGGCTCTATCATTCTTCGATTTGGTTCATCATAGAATTCTAATCATGTGAATTTTCCACCTTAATAAGTGATGGTAGTTTGTCTTATTCGATTGCTATGGCGATTGAATCGAAATTACCCTTGTATTATCTCTTTCTTACGACTACTTTCATTTAGAAAAATCAATTTTAATCTTTCTATCTGTTAATCAACGAATCTTGCGAGCGAATCTTTGATATCAATCTGATTGTGCTTTAGTATTCTAATTAATCACTGAGAAACTGGTAGAACCGATGGATATTGAAATAAATGATTCAACTCACTAATTGAAACTCACATCAGAAACTTGACCATTGTGACTTGTTTCAAGTATATTTATGATTAAGATGATTAGTTTTCCAAATTAAATCAAATCAACACTCCAATAGTTACCGTTACCATAAAAAAACTTGATTAGCTTAACTGATTTCCCTTTTTTCATCGATAAACATTAACCATCTCTATGCTTGTTGATTAACCAACAACAACTGGTTACATGTATTTACTTAGTTTTTTAATTGACTTAAAGTTTAACTAACACATAATCAACTCTGATCAAAACTTTAATCAAGATTTTTTACTCTGATTTGCGTCACTCGTGCAATTGAAATTGAATTGAAAGAATCAAATTTAAAGAATCATCATCAGGCAATTAAGGACTGAACTTATTCAGTGGTCCTTGAGTTAATTCTCATCAAATATCTACTATCTGATCAGCCCGTTTAACCATAATCAGGATGAAAGAAAATTAAATCAACGAAAAAGTATAAGAAACACTTAACCTAAAGAAAGAAATTAACTAATTCGTATATTTGGTTGGTTGCTAAGGCACTTGTACAAGGAATTAGAGAAAAGCTAATCAAGGAGACAGATTCATCCGAAGATTAAAAGAGAGTTGAGCCTGAAGACTTTTATCAATATCTGATGTAATCATAGCCTCGAGCTGATCAAATAAGAAGGATGATCTTCTTTAACTGTAAATGACACCTTATTTTGATGAATCTTTTCGCATAATTGCACCATTTTTTATTCTAATTGCTACTGTCCGCAAATTACTATCAACATTGTCAATCATTAGATGAAGATGAAAATTGTGATTTAGTTTTTATCATGTTCTTTTAGTAACTTGTTTCTTTCTCTTCCTCTGTCAATTGGCTTATCATTTAATCCTTTGCACTCTTGATTAGTCTTATTATCTTCATCCCAATTCAGTTAACATGTTGTTGTAGTTGTTAAACTCAACTTTTCATTCAGTTCCGGATGATGAATATGAATTTAAACAAATTGAAACAATATTTCAAAATTGGTTAAATAATTAATGATTGATCAAGATCCAAATGTTATTCAGATATTGAAATGCTCACTTTTCTTATATAATTAATAACTGTCTTAATCACATGAAGCTCATTTAATCTCAATCTTTACGTAATTTAATTATTTGATCTTGATCCTGATCCGTAATATTAATAAAATGTTCACCTTACCCTTGTACTTATCAAGTTGATCTTGCAATTGTCGTAATTCAATGTTTAATTATCGGCTGGATCATTGATCTCAATTAGGGATAAAATTAATAAATTTTAATAATTGTCTAAGCTATTTTACTCTCCCATTCAGCAATCAGTTGATTGCTCACTTAATTGATCATAAATTAAAAAGCAAGATGATGATAATCTAAGTTTGCTCCTTTAACAGCTCAGTTGATGGTGATTAGTAGATGAACTTATAATTACTTGGGTATCACCTTATTCCCATTGAAACAACACATTCATCTGATTTTGTAATAATTAACTAACGAATCAACTTTAATCACTATCTAACTGTATTTTCTATATTAACAAACAGCAGGATAACCAATACATTGGACAATATTTAGCGCACTCATTTCAATGCAACAAATTAACATGAAATGTATTTTACTCACACGCTGAGTTTAACTAACTAGTTAACTAAAGTTTATTCTGATTATTTAAGTTAAACAGTGAAAATGTCTCCTCCTCAACAATTACAATTTACTATCGTTACTTGTTTGATTGAGGGTAAAAATGGTTAGTCCTAAAAGAGACATTACAATTTGTTAATTACTTGTTAATCATTTGCATTGAAATGAATCTAAATAATCATTATTAAGATTAATTATGATTTTCCATCATAGTTTTCATCCCTTGTTCATCATCTTCTTTGCATACGTTAACCTTGTAATGCGAAAAACAATCAACATTCAAACATTGTTATTGAACTTTTCATCTTTTAATCACCATTTAAACAGAGGTCATCGTCATCATCCTCATCATCTCTTTCTTTCATCACCTTGATCATCTATCTTCATGAATCTCTCTCATTTCTCCAATCTGAATCGTGGGAATCGGGTAAACAATAGCATCGAAACCGAACATTGTTCTTGAATGTTAAATCAATGGGAAGATGTTGATATGATGAACAACAAGAAGAAAGTGAAGATGATGAAGATGAAGATGATGATTTGTTCCAGGTCTCTACCTGATTTTCATCATCATTAACTTTTCTTGATTATATTTACTGAGTCATTATAGCGATTAAATGTCCACCCAAACTCAATCTCTTCATATTGTTGATAATCTGATGATAATCTGTTTGTTTCCTTAAACTGTTTCATTAAACTTTTTCTCGACCATTTTTTTTTACTAAAACCACCTCAAAGCTAAAGATATAATAGAAATTATGATTTTTTCCATTTAATTATCATTTAAACTCAATCAAAGTTTGTTGACAATTTTTTCTTCTCACTGAGTTGATGTAACTTTTTTCTCATTGAGTTAATTTGCTGTGAAGGAAAAAAGTTAAATCGATTCAGTTGTTGATTAAACCTTTTCAATTACCATCCCTTCAGCATTAATTGTTACTCGAATTATTTCAGATTAAAGTCACTCTTATGTGCTTAATCAGTCAATACAATTAATAAATTGTTACTCCGATTATAATCACAGTTATGAGAAGTTGTCAAAATATTATTATACCAGAAAAAAAACTGATTCACTTGAATGCAGTTGACAAAAATAATTAAAGACTTTGGTGTAAATTGTTGTTATTGTTATCAATCAACACTATCAAAGTTTAATCAAGTTATTAATTTATTGGTCACTCTGATTCAGTTGTGACTATCATTGTATTCATGATTATATTTAATTCTGTCTTTTTTTCATCTCACAATTGAATCTGTTGATTATTTCTCTTTAATTGTAATCACTGGACTGATTAATTACTGCCCTTTCTCTTTCTTTTCTGGTTTGTGATTTAATTGGAAAAAAAAGTAACAATCAAAATCTCATTACCAAGTAACCAGATCAGGTCAACTTAATATATCATTTAACATCCATAGTTGAGCATTTAACTTGTTCCCAAGTTGATCAACAATCTTGTATTTGATTGTAAATTTAATTTCTTTTCATTACAACAACAGTTGCTCACAGTTAATTGTTAATCTTGATTAACTTGGTTTTTTGGCATCAGTTTATCAAATCAATTTACTTACGAAAAAAACAACGAATCATTTTGAAACAATTAAGAAAATAAAGAAAACTAATTAACATCCAGATACGATCTTGATTCACAAATCATCATTGCATTAACCTTTGATTGGATTGTGTCAATGACCGATTAAAACAAACCTTAACTGTGTCAATTAAATTGAAACAATTAAAATCTAGATTCGTTTTCAATCCTTACATTTCTCATTGATGATTTACTTTGCTAAGTCGCATTTTGAATCGACAATTAATCATTTACTCATCATACTCAAATTATGTCAGCAAATCAGTTGATGACATTTAATGATTCTCAAGAAATGATTGATTTGAAAACTATTAATATTTTCTGTAACTCATCATCATCTCTCTTCCTGTTTCATTGTTGAAATCATGTGATCTTGATGACATTTAGAGTGATCATCGCGGAGATATTGATAATTGTAATTTACAGAAAATTTTGATTGAAAAGATCAGAGAATCATCAGAATGATGATAATCAACTGCAGTTCTGTTGAATCTCTTGCCGCATAAAATTTCATGTTTTTTATCAATTTTTTCTAATCTTATTTTTCTTTCTTTCTTTTCCTCTTATTTCTCTACTCAGCCTGAGATTCTGGAAGGAAGCAATCAATACTATTGTAATATTTGTGAAAGCAAGCAGAACGTGATCAGAACCATTAGATTGCGAAAGTGTCCACCTTACCTGAATCTTCAGCTTCTTAGGTTTATCTATGATCGTCAGAAAAATTGTAGACGGAAGCTCAATTCATCTATTAACTTTCCTCTCACTTTAGATATGAAGAAATATTTCCAAGAAAGTGTATCGGTTGATTGTACTGAATACAATTTAGTTGCTGTTCTGGTACATAAAGGACAATCGGCACATTCAGGTCACTACATAGCCCATATTAAAGATCGTGAAACAGGCGATTGGTACAAATTCAACGATGAATTTGTTGAAAAAACGCAAGGAAATGTAATTAAATTATGTACTGATAATTCAAAAGAATCTCCACCGAAATTATCGTCAGCAGTTTCCTTGCCGCTTGGAGAGATCAAACCTTCAGCATTTAATGTGACAACTCCATTTACGACAGGACCAAATGCACCCCCATTGTCATCGTCTTCATCCTCACCACCACCACCAACATCATCATCAGTACCACAAACATCAAACAAAACAACTAAGAAAGAGTCAACAAAATTCAGCAAAGGCTCATACATGTTGGTTTATAAAAGTTCAGTTCTTGACGATAAAAGTGAGTAACTTTTTCCCTCGAGTTTATTTATTTTTTTTATTATTATTTTGCACTTTTCTCATTCACACACTTTTCAATTTCATTCACTTTATAACTTTATTATTATCATTATTTATCACAAATCTAATGTCTATTTTTTAGTCAATCAATTGACCAGTTCTCTCATCATGTCCACTATTTGCAATTGTTGATGCATTCATGTAAATGTACTTGTAATTCATCATATCAATGATAATAATAAGCTCGATCATATTGATGCAAATGAAAAGACACGTTGAGCTGATTTATATTATCGTTTATTTGTTTTATATTTTCTCAATAAAATGTTGAGTCTATTGAGAACCTCCAAGAGTCATTTTAGTCATGGAATTAGTCAAGAATCTGTTTGAGCAACTTTTTTCTCTATTTGGTGAAATGCAATCGAATCAAGTTGCAAATATAATTTTATGTTTATCAACCAAATTCCTTTTAAATTGAAAGGGAAAAATGGACGAAACCAATTAATTGGTAAAACAAAATCATCTCGACGTTTGATCGACAACAATTAACAAGTTAAAACTTTTTAAGCTGTTGGATTAACTTTTCCATCGGTTTAGTTTGTTAGAACATCAGTTTGCTTATCGTTGTTATGATTAAATTCATTATTCAATATTATCTTTAATAAGTGTACGCCCGATTCCCACAGCTAATTAAAACTCAGCATAATACTCGAGACAAAATGGTGGTTATTTTAAGATACGAATGAAAGGCTAAATGTTACTCAAGATTCCCGGAAGAAAACAGGGTACCCTCCTTATGCTGTTTCTCCATCATCATCTCCCACAGAAGAAGATGAAGAGAAGATGATGATGGATATGAAGAGAGACCTTGAAGGAATATTTACCCAATAAGTTCTCCACTCAGGAGGTCCATCTACCTGACCAACTTCTTCTCCTTGCAAACACCATCATCGCTCCACCTCCACCTTAATTTCCTAAATTTCAATTTCATTAAGTCTCTATATCCAAATCATGTTTATCTCAATTCCAAGTCAATGGGCTCAACTAAACTTTTCTTCATTTCATGTAACTTTTTGTGTCAATATTTTTTGCTCTTCCATAGAAACTTTTTTATCCATAGACTAATGATGAAGAGTTGCCCAACTTTTTTCTTATTCACTTTGGTCCTAATCTCTTCTTTTGCTTTTTTACCTTCATTTTAAGGTAAAAAGTGTTTTTCACCACGTAACGGTAGCCATTAGTTTTTTGCCTCCTTGTTATACAACTTCATCAATAGCTGCTCCTTTTTTTCAATCATCAGTAGAATGATGATAAAAAAGCAAGAAGATTGAAAGTGTGATGAGTAGTGAATCTTTTGTAAGAAGTTAATTCATTATCTTCATAGGAACAAGTGATAAACAGAACAACATGTTGATACTTTTGTCACGCATTTTTGCTCGAAATTATTGTCATGATTTATGAAACTTTTTCTTTCATTGATTCGACAATCAAACATTTCCAGTCATTATAATTTCTTCAATTCCTTTACAACTTTCTAATGATATCGAGAATTTATCACATTCTGTGATCTTTATTATTACTTTCGAATAAATTTTTTTCTTTCTTTTTCGACAATTTGCTCGAAAAGATTTCATCATTTCAACTCTTTCACTTGCCTGTTTCTCATCATTAACACTGATTTTCATCACCAGTGAACTACTCGAATTTAACTAGAAAAGCGAAATGATTTTCTTACATCCATTCAAATGGGATAATAATTACATTTGATTTAATAAAGAATGAAAAAAATGTTGATTATTTTCCTGTTTTGTTGATTATCTTGCAAATCGATCGTAATTGTGGTATTTGAACAATCATTTCCATTGAAGTTCATTTCTGTTGATACCATGAATCAGATGATAACAAGATACATTTCATTACAATAATATTATTGATTACAATTTAATAGTTTAACCTTGTTGTTCAAATAGTTACATTTATAAACTCAAGTATCATGAAGTTTATTTCTGTAGCAAACCATGAATATGATTGTAATGATATGTGGATGTGAAAATATACCAACAATTATAATTTACATTTAATATTCAAAGTTTTTTATTAACCAAATGATTAAATCAATTATTTTCGTCAATTTGTTTATTTGTTTATTTCAGAATTACCTTCAGATAGCTCAGTTCAATGGGATATTCCTGAATACTTACAAACAATTGTGGTCGAGGAAAATAGTATATTTGAAGACCACCTTGAAATCAAAAGGAAAGAGAGAGTAAGTTACCTTGATTATTATCAATACATTTCATTGATTCAATTGCACTATTATGATATTAAACATGGACGATGATTGTTGGTAAGATAAATTACATCAATTGGCGATTATCTATTAACAAGGTACAATTTATTTGGAGCGTATTTTGTACTGACCATTGATATTATAATGGAGGCCACACATTGATTGATATCGTCAGAATATAATCACTTTGTTTATCTAAATTCAGGCATAACTATGAACAATTATCTTCACTTCTTAATCTTCTCGTTTTCCTTTCATTTTACATTTCAAATGGATCATGATACTTTTAATCTCATCTCATCTCTTTTCAGGATCAGCGATTAGCACTGAACAGAGAGAAACAGGAAGAGATGTTATCCATCTACAAGAAACTTATGCTTACTGATAACGAAGAATCTTTTGAATGGATAAGCAAGAATTGGCTTAAAGATTGGCTTCACAGCGACTTTGAGAGTCCGATCCTCCACTGGACAATTCCAATGCCCTTTGTCCCCATAATAAGTACTTATCTTTTCAATCATTCACCTTCTCATCTTTTCATCAACTCCCTTTCCTTCAACAATAACAGTTAAGTTTCTTTTCATCATTGTCATCATTCTTATCATCTTATTCTTACATAAAACATACACATTGACCAATGTCTAACTTTTGTTTATCATCAGCTCATTTTATTCATGAAAGAACTTTCATCTTGATGAGAATGAAAATGATGGAGAAAAAAATCCAACTTGTTATAAAAAAGCAGCAAATGAACTTTGATGATAACCTTACATAGTCAATTCTAAATTGACTATGTTATTATTTCCATTGTTATCATCATGATTATTATTGCAACATTGTCTTTTCTATATAATTTGATGGTAATTATTATTACCATTGTCAACAATGAATCAAATTCTGATTCTCATTTTTCATCTCTTATTATCCATTTACAGGCTATCCTTAAAAGCTGCTCATGCAATGAAGTGTGTCAATTCCGAAGGGGTTTGTATTCATTCAAATCATGTTATTGTCAACAATTTCTGCCCATCACCTTATCATTTTACCATCATCTTCATTACCATTATTATTACCTCCTTTCTCTCTCTCTCTCTCTCTCTCTCTCTCTCTCTCTCTCTCTCTCTCTCTTCCAGGCATCTATTCTGTTCAGCCTCTATTCGGGTCACCCTAGATTAACGTAAGTGTTTTTGCCCTTTAGCATTAACTGTCTTCTTCTTGTTCGTATTCAATCAGCCGAAAGTAAATTCACCTCAAATTTTCCTTATTCTTCTTCACCTTCTTCTTCCCTGTATCATTTCTGTCATCTTATTGCTCCTTATCATCTCATCTTTTATTTTCGCCATGAAAACTTAGAGAACTTGGTGACTTTTTATCATCATTATCATCTGAAATAATTTTATCAGAAACTTGTATCATATTATTATATGAGAAATTATCTCATGAGACTCACTTTTAAATGATGGATGATAAAATAATAGGTGAATGTTAATTCAAAGGTTGTTGTTGATTTCACTTTGAGATCAAACTGATTTCATCATATTAGATGATGATGATAATAAGAGATTCAATGTTGCTAGAGAGCAAAATGATTGAAATGCTTCTCCATCTTCGTCATCTAATTGATCTTTTCTCCCATCTCTTAGTGATTCTTTGTGTCGTCAATGCGTTGAACTTAAGGTCAATCCAATTCAACCTCAAATGCCACCGATGCCTAAATTAAATCTGCCACTGTAAGTTGACCAAATGCTCTTAATCAAGTTAGTCTATAATCTGGAATCATCATTAACAAAACAACATCATTTTAATAACAATCAACATCCGTAAACAACATTATTTGTTTATTTTGTCGCTTGGTTAAATTACCATGTAATAATAATTATGATAATGACGATAAGCTCAGGGTGGGCTTCACTTGTTTTCACCGTATAAGTATCATCGTGATTAACGATAGCTCATTAGATGTTAATGATGATTACGATGATGAGATTTAACTAGTGTTGATTGTGATTATTATTATCATCATCATCAGCATTTACATTTCCTTGTGTATTTCTTTCTGTTTCTCCATCTCATCTTTATCATAACCTAATTGCCCCTCCTCATGAATGACCATTGATATTCTGGTCATCATCAAGTCAACATAAGATTTGAAGTTATCCATGATGGATGAGCGGAAGAAAAGCAAACCTAATGATCTTTTGATTGGTCTGCTAAATTGTTTTTTATTATTATGATTGTTATTAATTTTTCTTTCTTGATTATGGACAATTTACGATTTGTAGGAAAGTGAAATTTAGTCTCTTAAAATGAGAAAAAGAGGGAAAAGATGAAGATGAGGATGAGGATGAGAAGAAGACGAAATAAGGTAGAAGGATATTCTTCAATCTCATGTCACTCCATCAATTGATTGATGACTTTTTCTTTTCTATCTACACTCCAACACACCCAATGTGAAAATATCGGTCTTTCTTCATCATCTCCCTTTCTTCGGGATTTAAGTCTCTTCACTTTCACTCTTTGTCCCACTCGATCAGTCCAGTTACCTAATTTCAATTGATACAATCGTCAATCCTTCATCTTCAAGATTGAACATTTCGAGTTAATTTTACCCACGATTATATTATTACGACCTCATTCATTATTTATGGTTGGAAATCAGAAACAACATGATGATTATTACCAAAATAATTCGCTTAATCTCATTTCAAATTTCTATTCATTTATATCTAATCGAATATTATTTTGTTATTAATAAACAGAGATCCTGTTAATTACGATTGTCCAACTGTAAATGAGACAAAAGAAGAATTAAAATGTATTCACCAAAGATCATCATTTCCATCGACAATAGGAGATCAAAATTTTCCTGAACTTAAGTAAGTATAAATTAATATCAAGTATTTTTTGGTTAATGGAAATTTTCAATAATCACCGAAAATCGGACTGAAAAACTTATAAAACAAAAGGAAATAAGTTTATGACAATTGTTGGTAGTTATTCCAATCAAACTGATGTGGAAAAGATGTTACTCTGATGAGAGATGCTTTACAAGACCCTTAGCATCCTCATCCTTTGCTCGCTCATTATCATGTTACTTTTTCGCCCAAAGTAGAAATGCCAATTTAGCAGACAAACTGTTGTGCTCATTAACCTGATCCATTGAACATAAATTTATCAATTTTCACTTGCACCAACAAAGTCAAACTTAAACTGTCCAATATCGTAACCATAGTTAAATTGAATTTATGTCGATGATGATGAGATGATTCTGACACTGTCTTGTCTCAATAATCTCAGCATTATCTTCCCTTTTATCCACTTCAATCACTATCTCCCAATCCATCAATCAATTGCATTTCATCCTCAGTCATTTTTTTCTCCATTGGAACAGTTGAAACACGTTCCTTTGGTTTTCTAGAAGATCCAATGGATCTTTACAAGTCTAAGATGCTTTTCAGATCCGATTCACTCGATTTGTTTATAACATTGTGAAAGCATTTTCTCTGTCGCGTGTTACATTGTTTTTCCTTTTCCTTTTTTTCGCCATCATCATTTTTTGCATCTTCTTCTTCAAATCTATCATCATCATCATCAGTAGCATCTCGATCTCTCGCTTCTTCTTTTTCCCTTTTTCTGATCCATCTTCCTGTTTTTTATCTTCATCTTTACTGTTCATTGGTGCACATAACAAAAAAAGTTAAATGAACCATTGGATTGAAAACATTTAAAATCGTAATGCATCAACATAATATTACAAATGGAATAATATTTTCATGAAAATTACATCAGTCTACGTTAAATTTATTTATTATCACAAATCTTCACCGATTAAAATTGCAAATCAATAGTTATCATGAATATACTAATATTATAACTCACCGAGAGGGCCAGAGAATCATATTACTATTGAAACAATCAAAATTACTTTGCAACATCTTGTTAACAGTTTCACAATTTTCACTGAATAATATTTTGTATGCGAACCATGAAACTAAGTCAAGGTTAACATTTTATTAAATATTGATACTATGGCAACTTATTGAGTCGATTTGATTGATAAACTTACTCTTCTGGACTTGTTATCAATTCACCTTTGACTTTGATATATTAGCGAATTGAATTAAGTGATTTGTTTATATTGACATAATACATTTGACAATAATGTTTGGACAAATTTCACTGCGAAATTGTTTTCACTGTTAACATGATCAGGTTGATTTAAAGATTTTGATAAAGAAAAGGATGAGGATGAAGACGAAGATGAGCTTAATTTGCTAGAGCAACAGTTTCTCAAAGAAAAGATGGAGAAAAAGAGAAAGAGAAAAGGTGAAAGGGATAAAACGTATATTATGCATTCATCTTCATGTCACCTTATCATTTGATTGATGAGTTTCCCTTATCTATCTAGACTCCAACATACACACACCCATTGAAAATATTGGTCTTTCCTCATCCTCATCATCCTCATCATCTCCATCTTTTGCATCATTATCATCGCAAACTCTATCATTATCACTACCATTCAACTTCAATGTAAAGTTTCACTCTTCCTTTGCTCACAACTTTCACTTCTTGTCGCACTCAATCAGCCCATCCACCTAATTTCATCAAAATCTGTTGTGATTCCAATCACATCAATGAAATTAGTCAATAGCAATCGTTTTACCCACGATGATACCGTTACAATGTAACACTATGTTGTCCATGTCTATGGATCACTTGGTGACAAAGATTAGTGTTACATTGTGTTAATATGAACGATTACGGTTCACACTTTGTGCGTCAAGTCAATAAATTATTTGTAATACCGATAATCAGACTCCAGGTACAAATAAAAGCACTTAGATGCTGTTACTTTAAATCCTCTTACTTATTCTTTACAGGTAATATCCCAGGTATCCGGTCATAGGTCATATCAATAAAAAGTTTCGACTAAACTTTTTTCATGGTCATTCAAACTCTCGTCATTCTTTTATGCTCAACCCTTTTTTATTCATTCTTTTCATAAATTCAAGAATCTTTAAGTTCAGAGTAAACTTGAATCTATTATTTATTAATATTATCTAAGTGTTTTTCTCAATCGAACAGTATATTTAATTGAGCCTGCGATTAAATTTATGGCTATAAGTATGATAGCTTTGATTAACATTAAACATCCAACATTCAATCGGCTCTTTGTTGAATTCTGTGATTATCAACATGCGATACCAAAGGAAATTAGTTCTTATTGTATCGTATTTAGATGATTTGAACATTCTCATCATCGATTGTATTGTTATATTGTAATGAATTGGTTCTCAATCTAGACAAATGATTAATCTATTTTGTCAATCGAATTCAACATTTGTAATCATCTTTCTCTTGTGAGGTCTAATCTAGATCATCATGGTTCTCATCATGATCCTCCTTCTTCTTTTCATGGTCATCATCTTGTTCATGAGATTCCCAAACTAAAATTCGATGCCTTTTATTGTTACCCTTGGGGTAAAACAATCAACTGTCAATTTGATTACCATTTACCTCTATTAAAATCACCTATCCTCACATTAGCATCATCATTATGATCATAATCACCATAATAATCAAGAAATCGTTGAGAATAATTATATTTAATCTCATTTGAACATTACATTTAATATTAATTCATGATGCAAAAGCTAAAGAGAGAATTAATTTAAATGATATTCTGCAGGAACATTCAAATCCAATTAAAAAAATGTTAACATTAATCAACTATTTTCATGAGTGTAATTGTTGATAATCATCCTCATCACCTAATAATTATACGATTAAGTTTATCAATCATTCATTTCAATAAACTAAAAAACTTTGAAAATTGATTAAGATGAAAAAATCTGATTAATTTCATCTCTATTCTGTTCTATCGGTCCATTTAATCATGATTTTTTCTCTTTGTTTTCTTTATTATCGACAGAAAAAATGACGAAATGA